AAGCCAACGATTTGTTTTTAGCTTATCTGGAAGTCACACTAGGAATTGCTTCAAGCAGATTTTTGTTTTATAGAGTTAGAGTCATACTGTAATGGCAACTTTAAGGTATACGGTAGCGACAAAAGTACGATAATGAACTATGTTCTTTTGGTGTTTCTAAACGGATTTTTTGGATAGCCTGCGTTCCAGAATATTGTTTTATTTTATAAAATAACCCTTAAAATATCAAATTCAGAGTGCCGAGGCGTCGACTCGATTCAAGAGCTCGTCACTGTGGAAATTAAAAGAATGCATGAGTACATCGAAAAGCAAATGGTTCGAGTCATCTATATTGTCTATAGGGCAATTCTAGATTCAAAGATTACAGGGAAAAAACGATTACGCCGACATTTTTCTTGAAGACACCGTTTTCTATGTTGTCGGCAACGTTTTGACTCAACTTGTTTTAGGCCGGAGACACGAACACGGCTCAATCGAGTTTCGGTGAGGCTTTCAGAGCTCAATAATTGCTCTAGCTTGAACCCAAGCTAGCTAGAATCTATCAGAACCCTGGTCGAAGCAGAATAGTTCAGATTCAGCTTGAAAATCGATAGCTGGGCGGTTTCCCAGAGTTTAACTACGTTAAGCCGGATGGGTGAGGCTATTTTTGGTCGATCTGGAGCGCACACCAGTGATTCTAGCAGCTAACTGGGGAAATGGGAGTAGTTGCCAACTCTGAGACTGATCACCTCAATTCTAAGAAATTGAGCTCAATACAATTAGGGTTTTCTGTCACTTTTGGGTGAACTGGATGTCACGGCATAAAACCCAGCAGTCCAGGGGGTCGATGGAGGTACTACAGTAGTCAGTACCACGCTGATCAGTACGCCGTAATTCCAAGCGTTACAATGGACAGTGATCAATTCTTTTGTGATTTTTGGTCTATCTGGATGTCACCAGAGAATTCTGGAATATTATTTTGAACAAAACAAACAAAAAAAAATGAGAGTTGGAAATTGTTGGAAATTGGCGATTTTTCTACAAAAATTTTCTAAATTCAAAATTACAAATGAAATTTTTTCAGAGAATCAGCCCGTTGGTTAGACGAAACGACACGTTTAATGGAGAAATCATCAGCTTTAACATTTCTTCCGTGGTTGCGTCACTTGCCAGGCGGTGGTCTTGGGTACGCCGAGATGAAAACTCAAGCGAAACGAGTGCAAGATCTGATGCGAGAAGATATCCACGATAGGCGGCGGAGTGGAGGTGATTCTTTTATCGGAAAGCGTCGATCTGGAAGTCACGGAAACTAATGCAATCGAGTTTTCATTGCAGTAGCTTCTGTGCGTTTCTCTCCAAAGAAGATTTCCTATTCTCGAGTACACGAGCATTCTAGTGACGTCAATATGCAATTTTTTTGAAAAGTATAGCCGATCTGGAAGGCACAGGAGCTAATGAAATAGAGTTTTGATGAAAATTTGTGATTTGAGTTTTGCTGAAAAAAGTATAGAAAAAGATTGGGGGAAAATTTTTGGGTTACTGTAGGTTTTTGAAAAACTAAATTTGTAGATTTCCATTCTGGATGTCAACTTAGATTCTGGCTTAAAGAAATGATGAATTTACAGAATATAAAGACCCTTCGCGTACCGACTTGACATCGGTGTTTATGAGGAAAATTGATGAGGAAATGGTGGGAAATGAGGATCTCTTTTCCGATGAGATGCTTGTCCGTTTGATGACTGAGATGTTCTTCGCTGGGATACAGGTGAAATGTCGAGCTTTTCTTGGGGATTTGTTTTGGATCCGGAATGCACTGGATTGGCTAAAGTGGGGGAAATTAGATTTTTGCAATTTGCAGAAAATCGACTTTCTTTTTTGACTCAAAATCCACTGTGCGTTCCAGATTGGCGATTTAAGTTTTGAAAATTCGATTTCAGACAGAATGCAACACTTTTGGGTGGGCGTTTCTTTATTTTCTGTTCTATCCCGAAGTGCAGAGGGAGTGTCGTCAGCAAATTTTGGAAGCAGTGAGCGTGCCATCCGGGATTACGTAGGATTGAGTTTTCAGTTGGATTCAAGCGAAGAGATCTTGTGGAATGAGAAGGATCGAATACCGTATCTAGAGGCCACAGTTGCCGAGGTGCAGAGGTGGATTTTGAAAAGATAAAATAGCTACCGTATGTTGGAGCATGGCTATATAAGCTACCGTACCCTAAAGCTTGGCTATAAAAGCTACCGTACCCTAAAGCTTAACTCCACCGTACCCTAAAGCCTGTCTCTAAAAGCTACCGTACCCTAAAGCTTAACTCTACCGTACCCTAAACCCTAACTCTAAAGCTACCGTACCTTTTTTTGCTTCTTTCCAGAATCCCGTATCTCAAAGAGCTACCGTAACCCAGACTGGCTAGTTCTCAACTACCGTATCCCTAGCACCCTAGCGACTAGCTTCCTTCACAACCCGATTAAGTTAAAGTCATTATTGCCATCGTTTTGCCATTGTTTCCCTTGATCTTTTCGACTTGCAGACTCGCCAACATTGCTCCATTCTCGATGCCACACAAAAACCATGAAGAAACAACTCTTGACGGCTATCGGATACCAGCCGGATCACTCATTTTCATGAATCTTTACACCACTTTGCTAGATGATCACGTTTTTGAGAGTCAGTTTTTAAAAGAAAACGTTTCTAGTCTGTTTTATAGTTAGGCTAAACTCGTTAGCCTTTCAATTCCTAAAGAATCTCGTCTTCGTTATCTCCTCTCAAGTATTTTAACATATTCCTGACGTTGATATGCAAATTTTTTTGAAAAGTATAGCCGATCTGGAAGGCACAGCAGCTAATGCAATCGAGTTTTCGTCGAAATTTTCGATTTGGGTTTTGCTGAAAAATGCATAGAAAAAGATTGGGGGGAAATTTTTGGATTACTATTGGTTTTTGAAAAACTAAATTTGTAGATCTCCATTCTGGCTGTCAACTTAGATTCTGGCTTAAAGAAATGATGAATATTTAGAATATAGAAGAAGTTGTAGATCTGGCTGGCAACTGAGACTTTGGCTGTCAAATTGCAAAAGAAAAGTCACTTTTTCAGAATTTAGACTAGAGCTTAACAGAGCCAAAAACCTAATTCTAACCACCAGCGACTTTTCAGATGCCAAAGAGTTTCGCCCGGAACGTTTTCTAAACGGATTGAGGCTGGATCGAGCGAGAATGGCTGCCTCAATGCCTTATGGAATTGGACCAAGAATGTGTATGGGAGAATCGATTGCCAGGTGAGAAAAGACTCCTGGATCCCCCTGGCACAGGGCTTGCATTCATCCTTGCTCTCGTCCAGCGTCTAGACTAGAAGGGATACTTGAGAAGATCAAGGCAAGGCGAGACCAAGCCAAACCCAGATCTCATTCTGGATAGTCGTCCAGTGTCTAGGCTGGCTTCAAACAGTGCTGTGCGCGCCAGATAACACTTCTGCACTTGTCACCTAGCTTGAACAAGAGTCCAGAACTAATTGAGAGCCCAGCTACCGACCGTAGTCTTGGGATTTGAGCTACTGTAGACATAAAGTTCGCTATAAACTACCGTAATCTTATCCAAGCTATCGTAATGTTATCTAATTTCAGGCTAGAGCTGTTTTGCGTGATCGGCAGCCTGTTGCGCACGTACTCTTTCGAGCAAACGCCTGGCGAGAAGTACTCGCTCGACCAAAAAATGGAACTCACCATTCATCCATCAAAATATCGAATCCGAGTGCGCAAGCTGGCACGCACGGACTAAAAATATTCTATTTTTAATCATTTTTGTCTATTTTTGCTAATGCCGGTATAGCGTCGGGGCTACCGTAACCCATAAGATATTTTTTTAAGATGTCAGCAATTTAAGCTATTCTTTACCTGTTGTGACATCCAGCTAGGCGTTTCTATATTTTGTAGCAATCCTACAGTAATCCGGAAGCTAGAATCTAGATGGTGTCCAAGTTACAGTAATCGCCTACAATTTTTTAAAAGATAACATCAATTTAAGCTATTCTTTATCTATTGTGACATCCAACTAGACGTTTCTATGTTTTGTAGCAATGCTACAGTAATCCAGAAGCCAGTTTCTAGACGGTGTCCAAGCTACAGTAACCGGCCACCATTTTTTAAAAGACATCATCAGTTTAGTCTGTTTCTTTATCTGTTGTGACATCCAACTAGACGTTTCTAGGTTTCGTAGCGATACTACAGTAATCCAGAAGCCAATTTCTAGACGGTGTCCAAGCTACAGTAACCGGTCACCATTTTTTTAAAAGATATCATCAATTTAACCAATTCTTTAACTGTTGTGACATCCAACTAGATGCCTTGGTCATTTGTTTCATTGATACAGTAATCTAGACGTCTCGTTTCTAAATGACAACTGAATCATCGTAGTCTCTCAGTAAATTCTTTTGAAATCTCTGTTTTTCGATAATTTCTATCTAGCCTGACATCCAATTCGACGTCCCGACGCTTTATTTTTAATCTATCGCCACAAAAGCGAGCTTATCCGTCCTTGATCTCGTTTCTTGCAATGTTTGATGTGATTTGAGGTGATTTTTTGAGTCGAAATGTTTTATTTTCGTTTATTTTGGTTTATTTTCGTTTTATTTTCGTTTATTCGCACTGTTTATGTACAAAATTGAAGGCACAGCGATGAATAATATTATTAGAAAATTTAAATAAATCGAAAAAATAAAATAAAATAAAATAAAAAAAAAATTTGCATAAAAAAAAATTTAAATAAAAAAAAATCTAGCGTTAAATACTAAATTTTTTTTTTTTGAAAAATTTTTTGAAAAAAACCGGGATAAAATAAAGAAAAAGAGAGCTTTTAAAGACAGAAATCTACATAAAAACAATTAGCATTTAATACGTGAAATGGTTTTTGCGGCAGGCAAGAGAGAGAAATCAAAGCTAGCAAAAATTTCAGAAAAAAAAAAATCATTTTAAAGACTAAATAATTATTTTGATGGCTACTGTGACATCCAGAATTGACAAAAAAAAAGTTACGCAACACCGGAAAGTGTAGTGCTGCCGGTGGATCGACGCCGTAGTCGTAGCACCTCTTCACTGCCCTTGTTGGCGACGCCGAGTCGCTCCAAGCGGCCTTCTTCCATCACGACGCGATGATTTTCTTTCTCTTCGGTCAGTTGCCAAGCAGCTGTTCTGCAAGAAGGGGAGTTTATGGAGGGGAAAGCTGGTGTAAAGCTACCGTAATCCAAAGCCTAAGCTACCGTAATCCATACCCAAACTACCGTAATCCAATTTTCTCACCTGTAGACTTTTGTATGAATGAGATGACCCATTTTCTCCGTTCCATAGGCTTTCTCGAAAAGCTCTCGATACCAGAATTCTTCTTTTGTCTGTAAAAAAAATGAAATTCCTTTTATTTCTCTGATTTCTAGCCAAGATCAGAGAAAATCAGAGAAAATCAAATAAGATTTTGACTCCAAACGCTTTTCACGTGATTTTCACAAGTTTTGATAAAATTTTTCAGCAAAAGTTGAAGATCTGGAAGTCATTGGAGGTTTTGCAAAAAAAAAAGAACTGACCTCTGGCGTCCTTTCTGGATAAAGGGTATGACGGGTTGAGAAAAGCTTATCAGAAATCGTTTCAGCACAACGAGCGCCAATGATTTCACCGAGATCCTGCTTTCCTGGAAGTCACATCACTTTTTGAGATCAACATTTAAAGTCGTTGTCGTTGTTTTAAATAATCTGTTAAGCTACCGTAACCCTGGAATCCTGGGAAACTTACCTGAATCTAAACTTAGCTAACTACTTGTTCCTTAAGCTACTGCCTAGCTAGCTACTGTCTAGCTACTGTCTAGCTACTGTCTAGCTGTCTAGCTAGCCTACAGCCCTTCTAGACCTCACTACAATACTCAAAACGAGACTACGGTAACTATAAACAGCTCTAGCTGGATTAGTTTTATAGTCGGGCTACGGTAGCTAGTTCAGATTGAGGCTGGTACCAACCTAAAGCCTCTCCGAATCCCTCTTTGCTTCTCCAAAGCACTTCCTCTGGTAGCCAACCCTCAAACGCTGCCCTTAGCATGTGTTTCTCGAGCTTCATCGGCTGCAACTTGTACGCGGGCGGCAATCGGGCGACAAGGTCGATGAACTAAAAAGCGATGCATTAAGCTCAATCCTGGATGTCACACTATCGGCCAAGGTACTCAAACTTGGTTGTTACCATTCATTCTACACCTACAGTAACCCGGTTTGATAACTGGCGCCCGAACTACCGTAATCCTTCCTTATTTCTAAAGATCTTCGAGCTACAGTAATCCTGGATGTCACACTCTTGTTTGCTACGGTACTCGACCTAGGTTTCTCACATTTGACATCTGGCTACAGTAACCCCGTTTGATAAGTGGTGCCCGAACTACCGTAAGCCTTGCTTATTTCTAAAAAATCTTCGAGCTACAGTAACCCTGGATGTCACCCTAACGGCTACGGTATTTAAACTTGGTTGTTACCATTCATTCTACACCTACAGTACCCCGGTTTGATAACTGAGGCCCAAACTACCGTAATCCTTCCTTGTTTCTAAAGATCTTCGAGCTACAGTAATCCTGGATGTCACACTCTCGTTTGCTACGGTACTCGAGCTTAGCTAACACTCTACAGTAATCCGACTAAACGGTGCTTAAACTACCGTAACCGTTGCTCGTTTCTAAAAGATCCTACAGTAATCCTGGTAAATTGTGTCTAAATTGCTAACTACTACTCTAGAAGACAGAGTTATCGTATAAAGCCACTCACTTTCTTATCCAAAAACGGGACTCGAATTTCCAAACCATGGCACGACGTGGCTCGATCGCATCTCAGCACATCGTATTGATGCAACATTTGCAATCGTCGGTGAATCTCTTTATGCAAATGGAAAGCGTTTGGCGCTTTCTGCATATAGGCATACGAGCCAAATAGCTCATCGGCTCCTTCTCCTGAAATCGAGCACGATTATTGACAAGCTTAACACATGAAATCGTCAATCTGGATGTCACAGAACACCCTCGATATCATAGTTTTCATTTTTGACGGATTTGACGGGATTTTCTCGGGATTAGTTTTACAGTCGAGCTACGGTAGCTAGTACAGTCGAGCTACGGTAGCTAGTACAGTCGAGCTACGGTAGCTAGTACAGTCGAGCTACGGTAGCTAGTACAGTCGAGCGTACAGTCGCGTAGTTGTTACTGATTTTGTGTAAATAAAAAGAAAAATGAAAGTATTAACAAAAAAAAAAGGATACTTTAAACTCTTCAAAGACTTTAGATTTGTTCAAAAGCAAATCCCCGATCAACTAAGCTACACTTGTTCAAAACTAAGCTGTACTCGAGCTGTAATCGAGTCTGACGCTCCAAGCTACACAACTAAGCTGTAATCGAGTCTGACGCTTAGCTATTTGCTCAGAAACCAGATCGAGAGCTGATAAGCTCACGTTTTGGGGATAGATTAAAACTAAACTATTTGGGCGTCGAACTGGATGTCAGGCTAGATAAAAATTATTGAAAAACGGAGATTTCAAAAGAATTTACTGAGAGATTACGATGGTTCAGTTGTCATTTAGAAACGAGACGTCTAGATTACTGTATCAGTGAAACAAATGACCAAGGCATCTAGTTGGATGTCACAACAGTTAAAGAATTGGTTAAATTGATGATATCTTTTAAAAAATGGTAGGCGGTTACTGTAACTTGGGTGCCATCTAGAATCTGCCTCCCGGATTACTGTAGCATTTCTACAAAACATAGAAACGTCTAGCTGGATGTCACAATAGATAAAGAATAGCTTAAACTAATGCTATCTTTTAAAAAATAGTAGACGGTTACTGTAACTTGGGTGCTATCTAGAAATTGACTTCTGGATTACTGTAGCATTTCTACAAAACATAGAAACGCCTAGCTGGATATCACAACAGCTAAAGAATAGGTTAAACTGATGATATCTTGTAAAAAATGGTAGACGGTTACTGTAGCTTGGACACCGTCTAGAAATTGGCTTCTGGATTACTGTAGTATCGCTACGAAACCTAGAAGCGTCTAGCTGGATGTCACAACAGATAAAGGATAGATTAAACTGAGGATATCTGAAAAAAACGAATGCTAGCTGTAGATAGAGTGAAGCCTAAGCTCTAGACTAAGCTCTAGACTCTAGCCTCTACCCTTTCTCTTGCTTTTTAAGATGAATCCCAGTGCAACTAGGTTCCACAACAACCCACCAGACAACAGCACTTTCACATCGGAAATCGAGGCGATATGTCGGCAGAGTAAATAGTGCGCGATCCCACACCGCACGATCGCCGGCTCATACGTCTCCAGAGCATAGATAACTTCTAAATTTTAACGATTTTCCCAATCCTGGATGTCACTAAAGCTTTTCATCCAAAAAAAACATCAAAATTTTTGAATTTAAACTTTTTTACATATCCCAGTTTTTCTATAAAGCAAAAACCTTGAAATCACCTTTCAGAAAATTTTATTTTTATTTTTTTCTAATTTTTATTTTTTCTAATTTCTATTTCATTTCTATTTCATTTCTCTTTTCTAGAGTGCTTACCAGGAATCACATTGAGACAATCCTCGGCGGTGATCACATGGACCACGTGGTTGATGTTCAGGTATTGAGCAACGCGGCGCGCGTTCACCAAATCTTCCGAGTCCTCGAAACCAACCGAAAACGCCACCTGAAGGGTTTTTTGGAATTGATGACCTCCAGAACTTGAATTGAACTCGGTTACGAGATTGTCCTGGCTCTAGTTTAGCTTAAACGAGCCTGGTCCTGATCCAGCCTTGACCCTAGTCCAGTTCTGAGCTTGATCTTGATCTAACCTTGACCCACCCCTAAGAAGCAGGCTAGGGGAAGCTAGGGGAAGCTAGGGAAGGCTAGGGGAGGCTAGGCTAGGCTTAGGCGAGGCTAGGCGAGGCTAGGCGAGGCTTAGACTCGGCTTAGGACCCTGATCTGCCCCTGATCTGCCCCTGATCATTAGACCGGTGTTATTGAATGTATTTCCGAAATCTTTAGGTTCGGTGACATCCAGGATCGCCGAATTTTTCAAAAAAATTCAAAAAATGATCGTTTTTTACGGAAAAACCGAGCTGGACTTAAAGCGGAGTGTGAAAATTGGAAAATTCCCTAAATTCGCGAATTTTCAAAATCCTTAGATTCGGTGACATCCAGAATCGGCAAATTTTTCAAAAAAATCCAAAAAATCACCGTTTTTCACGGAAAAACAGCGCCGAATTCGAAGCGGAGTTGAGGGTGAAAATTCGAGAATTACCCAAATTCGTCAATTCCCGAAATTTTTAGGTTACGTGACATCCAGGATGGCCGAATTTTTTTGAAAAATCCAAACAATCACTGATTTTTTCGGCAAAACAGCGCCGAACTTGAACCGCAGTTGAGTGTCAAATTCGAAAATTCCCCCAATTCGCGAATTCTTAAGATTTTTACAATTGCGTGACACCCAGGATCGCCGAATTTTTTTTGAAAACTCGAGAAAATCATCGACTTTTGAAGGGAAAACAGCGCTGAACTGTTGATGGCACGAACCGGTTTATGTTTGAGTGCTCGGGTGGCGATGGCGGCGATGAGACTCGAATCCAATCCGCCGGAAAGCATGAAACCGAAATGTCGATTGCCCATCAAGCGCTTTTCCACGCTTTTCGTCAACACCTCTCGGATGAGTAGCTGAAATTTTGGGGAATTGGGTACGGTAGAATGAAATAGATTGAGATTCCGGGAAAATCAGACACTCCAGGATTACGGTAGCTTTAGAAAGGGCTTTAGGAAGGGCTTTAGAAAGGGCATCTTTTAGGAAACTCTTCACAGGATTACGGTAAGGCCCAAGGGATTACGGTAAGGCCCAAGGGATTACGGTAAGGCCCCAAGGGATTACCTCCAGGGATCACGGTAAGGCCCCAAGGCTTTACGGTAACTTTTCCCACCTGTGCATTCTCGATGCTCACGAAGCGGTCGGCGATTTGGGGCACGAAATAGTAGCGTTCGGTCTTGAAAGGACGCGGATGGCCGTTCGTGAAAGCAATCGTCGCACAGCAACCCGGCGGAAACACTTCCACGCGTTCACACAGCTCCGAGATCGATTTCACCTGGATTTTTTCACGTAAATTGTCAATCTGGATGTCACAACACATTTTGCATATCATAATTTGCACTTCAGACTATTTTAAGACTTATAGACTTGCAAGGATTACGGTAATTTTGAAATTTCAAATTTCAAGATTTATGTTTTTTGAAGTTTTTAAAATGTAGCGTGCGCTCCAGCTTTACCTCTGATCCAATCGCCAAATTCCCCTGACTCGTATAGCCGTAGAAAAGTGGGCGAACGCCGAGGGGATCCCTCCCAACGTAGACATTCTGCTCGTCGGCCATGATGAAAGCGAAAACTCCGTCAAGCATAGCGCAAGTTTTTCTAAATGACATTAAAAGGGTTTGGCTTAAGAAAACGGCTTACTTGAGATCGTTTCCATTTTTATGAAAAGCATGAATGATGGCCGCGCAATCGCTTCCATTGTTCGTCAACTCCAATGAGCTTCCCTCCTTAAAAATTAATATTAACAAGAAAATAATATTTTTATTTTCCGACGTGACTTCCAGGATCGCTGAATATTATCAAAAAAATTTCGATTTTCTGGAAAATTTCGAAGATTTCGAGGTGGAGTCATTTCATTGCAATAATTTTGGCATTCAAAAGAAAGTAAGATTTTTATTTTCCGTGGTGACCTCCAGGATCACTGAATATTATCGAAAGAATTTCGATTTTCTTGAGAATTTCGAAAATTTCGAGCTGAAGTCATTTCATTGCACTAGTTTTGGCATTTTTTTGCGATTTTTTTGCATTTTAGCATTTTGGCATTGTCAAAAATGTCAAAAAGTTAATTTTCTCTAAAATTCGAAAAATTCTCACCTTGATTTGCAAATGATTATACAATTCTCCATTGCAGACAACACTTTTCCCTTGTCCGACGATTGGCTGCTCGCTTGGAGTGTCACCAGGCTGAAAAGAAGAGCATCAAATTTTTGATATTCTTGAAATTTTTTGGAATTCTTGAAATCCAAAGTTTTAAATCTCTTTTCAATCTTTTAAAATCTCTTTTCAATCTCTAAAACGCCATCTTTCTTTCCCCGCTTTTTCCCCAAAGCTTTTTCTCAAAGCTTTTTCCCAAATTGTTTGATCTTTTCATCAAGACTTTCTTTTTTTTTCATTCCTTTTCGATGGAGCTGTTTTGCGTCCATTTTCGGAAAAGGAAGCGCTTTTTGGGGAAGGGAAAGAGTCACTGGAAAGAGTGCTTCCTGGTGTTCCTCGTGTTCCTAGTGTTCCTGCTGTTCCTGCTGTTGCTGGTGTCCCTGGTGTCCCTGGTGTTCCTGGTGTCCCTGGTGTTCCTCGTGTTCCTCGTGTCCACAAGGGTCAGCGAATTCATCAGCTTTCACAAAAAATCATCCCATTTCCCATACTTTAGCTTTCACGTAGCTTCGCGTCTACGTAGATGCTCTCTCAATAAAGGATTATTGCAAAAGGATCATTGGAAAAGGATACTCCCCAACTCCAATTCCCCTCGCAAACAGATCAACGCAGAGACTGGGTAAAGAAGACTGCTTTCATCGAGTCGTCGAATCAAAACCCGGCTACCTGGGTCCTCTTCTTCCTCTTCTTCCTCCTCTTCTTCCTCCTCTTCTTCCTCCTCGTGTGTCTCTTCCCCTACCCAGCCAGACCCAGAGCGCCTAACTTTTGACAACTTTTGAAGATTCCTCTCTGCTTTGCTCAGGAACAAAAAAAGCGGTGATGAAATGAGCCAAATTCTATGGTTCTATGGTTATCGATACTGTAAAAGATATCTAAGGTTTGAGCCTCGTTACAGTAAGCTGGGAGACAAGCTACGTTCTACTACATTTGGGGCATACTGTAGGAGGATATGAAGCCGGAACTTGAGGATCTATGACCTCTAAGATCCTGGAATCTGGGACCTTGGACCCTGAGAACCGTGAACCCTGCACCCTGGATCCTGGACCCCGGGATCCTAATACCCTGGGCCCGGGATCCCGGGGAATCTGGAACCCTGGAACCCTAAACCCTGGGGCCCTGGGGACCCTGAAGAGCTTGGATCTTGGGGACCTTGGACCCTTGGGATTCTGGATCCTGGACCCTGAAATCCTAAAACCTGGAACCCTGGATCCTGGGGACCCTGTATCCTGGACCCTGGAGGCCTTGGACCCTGGGACTCATGGCCCCGGGATCCTGGACCCTGGGGACCCTGGGACTCATGGCCCCGGGATCCTGGACCCTGGGGACCCTGGGACTCTGGACCCCGGGATCCTGGACCCTGGGACCCTGGACCCCGGGATCCTGGGCCCTGAGACCCTGGATCCTAGATCCTAGATCCTGGGGAGCCTGGAGAACCTGGATTCTGGGAGCCTTAGACCTTAGCATGTAACGAGTACCGTAGCGGACACCTGCAGACTTACTTGAGTTCCCTTTTCTCGAAAAATTTCTTCCTTTTCTAGATCTTTCTTAAGTCATTCTACAGTAACTGGGAAAAGTTTAAAGAGTTTACAAAAAAAAACCACTTTGTAAGCCCGATGAAGAAGTGATTTTATGTTCAAAAATGAAACTGGAACTCACGATGACGATTGCGAGTCGATGAAAGCCGAGATGCACACGCGGATGGACCTCCTTGAGCACGTGCAAGTCCGGGCCGCGACCCATGATGCGCATGAATTGAGCCTGCTCGAAGGGACTCACCTCGTCCGACCCCAAAAGGGCCCAGATTCCGCACATTTAGTAACCCGTTTACTAGAAAACCTTTGAATAGAATAGAGAAGAAGAAGAAGAAGGAAGAAGAAGAAGCAAAAAACAGAGAACAAGAGTTTGAAAGGTTTTTGACAGAATCCAAAAACTAATCAACAAAAGAAATATTTTTTTTGGGCAATCTGGAAGTCACAGAAGATAATAAAACAAAAATGAATCAAAAAGGAAAAGAAATGAAAACTTTGAGTGAATCTAGATTTCTCAAAGGCTCAGGGACTTTCAAAGGCTTAGAAAAAATTTCCCCATTGCTTATTTCATTGATAATGGGTCGCAGGCGAGAGACTGGGACGAGGGTTGGCGGTCGGGAATCGCTTTTATTTCGATCTCTCGGGGCTGGTGGTGGGGGGGGTTGGAGGGTCGAGAAGCAACGAGACAGGCAAGCCAAGAGCCAGCCAGTCTCTTCCCAGCCTCTCTTCCCCAGCCTCTCTTCCCCAGCCTCTCTTTCCAATCATTGTTGAGGACCCTAATCCTATCACAAACATGCCCTCTCACGCGGAACAATCTTAAACCGGAGCCGGAATCATGAATGATATCTGATAGACTGGGATTAGTCGACAGGCACCGAGGATTACTCTAAAGCTAAAGCCTTAGGGTCAATCTGGCTGTACCTCATCTCATATAGTACACCGGTTCAGGAACAGGCTTAGGAACAGGCTTAGGCTTAGACTTAGGCTCAGGAACAAGCTTAGGCTCAAGAACAGGCTTAGACTTAGGCTCAGGAACAGCCTTAGGCTCCGGAACAGACTTAGGCTTAGGAACAGGCTTAGGAACAGGCTCAGGCTTAGGCTTAGGAACAGCCTCAGGCTCCGGAACAGACTTAGGCTTAGGAACAGGCTTAGGAACAGGCTCAAGCTTAGGCTTAGGCTTGGGCTTAGGAACAGCTACAGGCTCAGGAATAGGCTCAGGTTTACGCTTAGGCTCAGGAACAGGAACAGTGTTTCCTTCCAAGACAAATCCAAGGCAGGGCATTGTAACCAAATCATGAAACTGCCTAGTTTAGAAGTTACTGTAACTGAAACTGTTTTGTTTCAAAGTGGAGTACTGTATGAACTGAAACAAATTCATCAACTCCATCATTTCAGACTTAAACACCTCTCGAAAATCTGATTCAAAAGCCGACCGGAAACCAGCTAAGAATCAGAAAAGAAAGAAGAGGGGAAGAAGAGGGGAAGAGGGGAAGAGGGGAAGAAGAGCGGAAGAGGGGAAGAGGCTTTTCCGCAAATGGGGGTCAGCTTTTCTGGAAGTGCTGGTTCAGGGAAGTGAAATGATCAGAAAGAAAGAAAGGAAGGAAAGAAAGGAAGGAAAGAAAGGAAAGAAAGAAAGGGAAGAAAGGAAAGGCCATGTTTAGAGAAGAGCAACAATTGGATAGACACCTGGGCGCCTTTTCTGATGAATGTTTGGCCTCCAACCCTGAGGAATGCGGAAGAGAAACCCGGTTGATCCATCTACGGAAACGAATCATTGGATTGGTTTTAAAGCTCTAGCTCCAGTAACTGTGGCTAAGACGATCAGCCATTCAGTCAGCCATTCAGTCAGCCATTCAGCCAGGCATTCAGCTAGCCATTGAGCTAGCCATTCAGTCAGCCATTCAGTCAGCCATTCAGCTAGCCATTCAGCTAGCCATTCAGCTAGCCATTCAGCTAATTCAATCAGCTCCAGATCATCTCAACTCAAATCAAAACCTCTTCCCCTTAACCTATCAAATGCTAAGAACCGAAAAATTAGAGAAAAGCAAGTTCTCTAATTTTCTGATTTCTTTATGCATTCTGGATATCATTGATGCTAGTTTTCTAAATGAAAGCTCAAGAATTGTAGAACCAGTTTTCCGTCTCTGTCTCTATCTCTTCCACTTGACCCCGATATACTTTCGATGATCGGATTGTGCCCGGGTCGAGCCAGAAGCCTCACTAATCACACATGAATAGTTTGAATGATCGACAGGACTTTGTGTGCTCACCGATCTCACCAATCTCACCAATCTCACCGATCTCACCGATCATGCGGTCTCCGGGTCCCGAGAGAAGCGGAAGCGTCACCCCAACTTTCCGATCGTGAGATCCCCCTTGACTATCGACTATCAAACTATCGACAAAGATCAGGGAAAGAAAGGGGAATGGAAATTCTAGCAATCTGCAAGCTGGATGACACTAGGCAGGGAGAAACTCTGAAAGTAAGAAAAATGCGAAAAATTTCGACTTTAAAGTCATCGTATTTTATCCTGCTCGATTCCTGAGCTAAAATTAAGATCTTTAAACAAAACAACAAGTTCTTCTTTCGATCTGGATGTCACAGTGATAGAAAAATTTTTACAAACTTTGTTAGAGTCAATTTTGAACGAGTCAACCTAGAAGATTTTGCTTTGGCCTCGAGAAAATCGAAATTTTTATTTAAAACCAAACTTTTTTTTATTCTTTTTGTTAATCCTGGATGTCACAGGTGTTAGATTTTTAAAAAATAAAGAAAAAAAAAGAAAATAAAAAATCGGTAACTAAGCCTAGCTTTGCATTGACAAAAATCGAAATTTCAAAAAAAAAAATTTTTCAAATTTCCCTCTAACCTCCTAAAGCTTCTCAAGACTTTAAACTACTCAAAAAAAGAAAAAAAAGAAAGCGACTGTTGATCTGTCATTGGGAATCAAAGAAATCCCATGGCTCGTTTACTCAACGAGTTACTCGAGTTCATCAAGTCCATCAAAGAAATTCTTTTCTCTACTTCCTCACCCGGGGAAAGTGTTGTGTGTGCTCCAGCTTGAACACTCCCGAATTTTCCTATTGTCATTGTTTGACCATTGTTGTGGCCTGGGGCGAGAAGTCGAGGAGAAGTCGAGAAGAAAGTCGCGCAAAACCCATATTGCCTCAGGTTGTCCCGTTCTCGTTTCCGTTCAACAGTGTGCGTCCCAGTACGACCAAAAGATGGACCCGAGCGACTCGTGGAATGATTGTACCAAAGATACAGGTGAGTCAATGATTTTTACTTTAATTTTTCATTGATTCAGTATTTTTTTCTATATTTTCTTTTACTATATTCATGTTTTTCTTTTTTTTAAGTACTAAGGATTTGTGGATTGGGAAGATTGGGGATTTGGGGTGGCAGCCAGGCACGCGTGCCGTTGACAGCCAGCCAGCAGCCCATCCGAGTCTCGGAGCTGCGTGCCGACAAGGTGTGTGCCCAACGGCACCCAATCGCTTTTCTAACAGCTGCAAAATCTCGTGTGACATCCAGAACTCTTATATCAATTCAAGATCTCGTCCAGAATCTCCATTTTAACAGCTTTCTATGCTCAAACTCAGTACTTTCCATCATTGTATGCCCAATGGCACCCAATCGCTTTTCTAACAGCTGCAAAATCTCGCATGACATCCAGAACACTTATATCAATTCAAGATCTCGTCCAGAATCTCCATTTTAACAGCTTTCTATGCTCAAACTCAGTACATTCAATCATTGTATGCCCAACGGCATCAAATCGCATTCCTAACAGCTGCAAAATTTCGCGTGACATCCAGAACTCTTATATCAATTCAAGATTTCATCCACAATCTCCATTTTTTCAATTTTCTAAGCTCAAACTCAGTACTTTCAATCATTGTATGTCCAACGGCATCAAATCGCTTTCCCAACAGCTGCAAAATCTCGTGTGATATCCAGAACTCTTATATCAATTCAAGATTTCATCCAGAATCTCCATTTTAACAGCTTTCTATGCTCAAACTCAGTACATTCAATCATTGTATGCCCAATGGCACCCAATCGCTTTCCCAACAGCCGCAAAATCTCGTGTGACATCCAGAACTCTTATATCAATTCAAGATCTCGTCCAGAATCTTCATTTTTACAACTTTCTAAGCTCAAACTCTGTACTTCCAATCATTATATGCCCAATGGCATCAAATCGCTTTTCTAACAGCTGCAAAATCTCGTGTGATATCCAGAATTCTTATATCAATTCAGGATTTCATCCAGAATCTCCTTTTTTTCAATTTTCTAACCTCAAACCTTTTTCAATCGAAATTGTGCGTTCTCTTTGCTCAAACTTTTTCACAAATTGTCTGATGACGTCTTGAGACCGCCACGGGTCACTTGGTCTCGATTTTTGCGGGTAAATTTGATCGGCTTTGATGTGCGTTTGTTTTCCCGTTCTCCGAAACGGCGCCTCACTGGCTGCTGGATGTCGAAAAGAAAAGTCGAATGAAAAGAAAAAGGAAAGAAGGAAAGGGAAGAAGGGAAAGCTTTTCGAAAATGATCGAACTCAGTACGGGTATCGGTTGCAGAAGAAAAGGAAAGAAGGAAAGAAAGAAGGAATCGTTTTTTTTCTGATACCGGCCTCAATGTTGGCTCACCTATCATTTTTTTATTTGCGCGTTGATAGAAAAGCTTTTCCTTTTGCTTTCTTGCTTTTTTCCTTTTTTCATTCCTTTTTCTTTTAAGCGATCAGAATACACTCGGATTGTGGATTTTGAGGAAATTGAGGATTTTCGAGATTGCACGCCGATCTTTCAAAGTTTTGACGGCCAGAGTACGAGAGGGCCAAGGCTGACTCACTCGATGAGTGTCAAAACGGAAATTAGGGGACTGATTTTGCTTGGAAATGGTAGAGTGACATCCAGAATTGATAAATAAACCGATTCTATTTACAGCTTAGCTACCGTAAGCTGAAATTCTTAAGGAAACGAATCGACGCCGCTCATCGATGAGTGTGAAAACGGAAATTAGGGACTGATTTTGCTTGGAAAGGTTAGAGTGACATCCAGAATTGATAAATAAACCGATTCTATTCACAGCCTAGCCACAGTAAGCTGAAATTCTTGAGGAAAGGAATCGACGCCGCTCATCGACAAGTGTGAAAACGGAAATTAGGGACTGATTTTGCTTGGAAAGGCTAGAGTGACATCCAGAATTGATAAATAAACCGATTCTATTCACAGCCTAGCCACAGTAAGCTGAAATTCTTGAGGGAAAGGAATCGACGCGGCTTGTCGGAAAAACAAAAATGAAAAATGAAAGCCCAATTTTGATCTTTTTCAACAACATGACCTCCAGGATAATGGAATTAGGGTTGAAATTTCAATTGCGATTCGAGATTTCACAAGTTTTCTCCGTGAACTTCTTGTGGCGCAAGAATAGCCAGGTAGTTACTCATTTTTTTGACAAGTCTCGACGAGCTTGTGCTTTTTGGAGTACACAAAAGCAAATGGCGGTTTGGCGCTTCTCTTTCTGATTGTTTGTCTCATCGTTAGTCACACTTTTCCCAGTGAATCATTGCACAATGCCTCAATTTCAGTTTTCCGAAAATAGCCGCTTCCCCGAGAATCGGAGAAGCTCTAGGGAGAAAGGGAACATTGAAAAAAGAACTGGAGAGGAATTGGAAGCGATTTTGACTAAAATCTCACTAAAATCAATGTAATTAATAACAGCTATGGCTCCGAATAGTTAATTCAACAAAATAAATATCTTGAGTCGATTCATCGACCACGAAAACCCTTCGGTAGAAATTTCCAGCTGAATATCTTCTATTTCTGTCATTAACAAATCAAAAGAAAGAAATCCCTTGTGTTCTTTGAGCGCTTGCCTAATCGCTCTTTATCTGGTATGCCGTTTTTGATGATAAGAACTGGCAGACAGGCTTATTGAGCTGACAGACATGCGAACTGACAGACAGGCTTAACGGGACTGAACTCACTTCCAAAAATCAAGCGACCTCGGCACCATCAGCCAAGAAATCTCCAACCATGACCGGTCCTCTTTTCTCATCAGCTAGCCTTCTCTTTTCTTCTCTCTCATCAGCCTGCTTCCCAGGATTAACGATGAAAGCAATGGCATTTCGAGGGGATCACTTTGGTGCCCGGGAAAGACTCGACAAAGAGAAAGAGAAAGACAAAGACAAAGACAAATGCGACTGTCTCTGCGCGGGTAGGGGTGACCCTGTGTGGCACCCAGTGAAACAAGAAATCCGATAAAGAGCCTGCTGAAGAGGTTGACAAGACAGGTCCCAGCCCAACAATTGCGAAGATCACGGCGGGCACTTTGGCGACTTCTCTCTTGATCTCTAGATTTCGTCTTACCACGACCCCCGACCCGGACCCGAGATCTCATTTCTGAGATTTTTCGCCCCACTTTTTGTCGAATCACCTTTTGTGCGTTCCAATTCGATCATTCACATCGTCAAAAAAGTCTCAGCGATTTTGCATCGAGTTTTTCAGCTTCATCAAAATTCTCGTAGTTGAACTCGATTATTTTTTTGAAAATTCGACTCTTTTAATTTCTCAATTTTCCTTCGTGCCCTCCAGATAGCCTAATTTTATCAAAAAAATTTTTGAAACCTTAATTCTCAGACCTCAAACAGCCATCAAAGTCGAATCGTCAAATCTAAAAAATCTATCTTTTGTCACAATCACAGTGAAACTCTTTTAGAATTCTCATCTGCATTCCAGCTTAGTCAAAATCCCAATTTTCAGAGTATCTCCTTCGGATGGCCGTCGTGCATCCGTTGCCCGAGAGTCTCCCGCCATCAGCAGCTGTGTCGAGAAAGCCCGTCGAGCTTCCCACTTTGCCGTATCGATGGTTTCCCTCATTTCGGCTCCTCACCGCCTCACTTTTGTGTTTGTGCTTTGCAAGGTTTGTTTTATAGCTGAATATCTAAAAAAAAGCATTGTTTTCTAAAAGATGCTCCAGCTACCGTATACCTCTGAAGAAAACAAGAAAAACTAACAAAACTAACAAAACTAAGATTGTAGAAAATTTATGTGTCATCCAGATCGCTCAAAAATCGCTTTATCTTCCCGCTTTGCTTAGAGAAATCTCAGAGAAAGCTGGTGTTAAAATTTGAAAAAGCTGGAAAAGTTAGAAAGCTAGAAAAGCTGGAAAAGCTTCGAGCTTCAGAAATCCTAAAATTCCAGCGTTCACATGATGAATAGCAATCTGGGAATTGCCGTCGTTTGTATGGTGAACTCGTCCGAATTCCGCGACGAAAACGCGACTGATTATGGAGGAGAACCGAAGTTGAATTGGAGCCCAGAGGAGATTGTGAGTGAAAAAATTTTTGATTGATTTTGACGATGACGATTGATCGACGAACCAAATTTAGAGAGATAGGGAATTAAATTTAAAGAGATAGGGAACCAAATTTAGTCAGATAGGGAACCAAATCTAAAGAGATAGGGAACCAAATAATTTAGAGAGATAGGGAACCAAACTTAGTCATATAGGGAACCAAATTTAGTCAAATAAGGAACCAAATTGATTCTTAGACGGCTAACCTCTAATTTTTTTTTTGATCAAATATGCCTAAATGACCCCTAGAAACACTATCAAAAACAGTCGACTTTAGGGCTATATCTTCTCAGCTTTCAATCTCGGCCTTTTGTTTATGTTGTTGACAGGATGGGTGGCCGATCGCTTCAACGCCAAATATATGATCATGGCAGCCGTTTCTGTAGCGTGTTTTGCGAATATTCTCATTCCCTGGATGTCACCGCAGAGGTTGGTGGAAAGAATTGAGCAAAAAAAAAAGAGGAATTCTAAAAAGCATCTCTCCGAGAGAAAAACTCCGAGAAAATTCGAAAAAATTCTCAAATTCTCCTAATGCACTCCAGAAGGCACAAATCTTAAATCAAAAAAATCCAAACAAAAAACTTAGAGCCTTTTCAGCGTCTACTATGCGATTGTTGGTCGTTTCCTTGTTGGGCTCGCCGATGCGCTGTTGCAACCGGCGGTCAACTCGCTTATCACTCGGTGGTTCCCGGCGTCGGAACGGAGTTTCGCGCTCGGTTTAGCGACAAGTGGACGCCAAGTTGGTGAGTGATGAGGCCAGGAGTTAAGGCCAGGAGTTAAGGCCAGGAGTTGAGGCCAAGTGTTAAGGCCAGGAGTTGAGCCGACATTTTTAGGCGCTCTCCTCATTGTGCCAGCTGCTGGAGCGCTCTGCTCACAAACAGTTCTTTTCGGCGGTTGGCCGTCGATCTTCTACATTTCGGCGATCGCTGGCGCTTTATTTATCATCATCTACACGCTAATTGGTGAGTTTACAAAGTTAGTTTACAAAGCTAAAGCCGTTTCCAGCTCAAAACGGTAAACGGCAAACGGCAAACGATAATGTTTTTTTCTGAAAATCTGGTAAACTGCAATCCAGTATCAAGCAAAACCAGCTAAACCAGCAAAACCAATAAATCCAATCAATCCAGGTGCTGACAAGCCTTCGAAGCAGTCATGCATTTCGGAAGCTGAACTCAAATTCATCACTGCCGCCAATTGGGTTGAGGATTGCGGTCAGAAACGCATCGAGCGTCAGGTGAGCTTTATTTGCAAAACCATTTCCATCTCGAACACACTCTAGATCCCCTGGCGCAAGATCTTCACTTCTGGGCCTGTTTGGTCGGCGGTGATCGCAATCGTTTGCCACGAGTTTCCGCTCATGACGATGATCATGTTCTTGCCGAGGTGATTTTCGAAAAAAAAAGTATTTTGACGTACAATCTGGATGTCACGAAAGCCAATAAGCAATCTAGAAATGAAAAAAATTAAAAAGCAACTTTTTCGAAAAAGCCGAAATCGAGATCGAGTCTAGAAAACGAGATTTCACAGAAAATTCACTGAAATTCACTTCTTCAAAGCTAAAGCTGGAAGGCATTCAACAAATTTGTGGAGTGATTTTTGTGAAAATTCATTTTTTTCAAAAATTCAAAAATTCAGTTACCTCCACGACGTGCACGAGTACTCGGCCGCGCAAAACGGAATCCTCTCCGCGTTGCCGACGCTCTCATTATGGTTGGCAAAGCTCGGATCAAGCTACGCGAACACATGGCTTCAAACGAACACCAACTGGCATAAGAGCAAGATTTGCAAGGTGCTGAACCTGGTCGGCTCTCTGGGTTTGGGCATTTTCCTCTACGCGACTACACTTCTCGACAAGCGCTATGCATGGCTGGCCGTGCTTTTTCTCTGCTTATCGATGGCGTCAGCTGGTTAGTGATCAGGAGCAGGCTAAGATATAAATCAACAAGGCTAAGACTGTAAATTCCAAAGAACCTAGCCAATTGCGAGCCCACACTCGAGTCCCATACAAGGTAGAAAAAACTAGGCGAGTGCTCGGAAGCGGAAATCCACTTGAGCTTGTCGTGTGCGCTCCAGATTGCCGATTTTTCTAGGTTTACACACTCCCGGCTGTATCGTGGCCTTGGTTTCGGTGGCGCCAGCTTACTCTGGCGTTGTCACCGGTTTTGCTTTCTTCTTCGTCGCTGTGTCCGGGATGTTCAACCCGATTCTGACAAAATGGATTACACAGGTGCTAAAAAGTCGATTGAAAGTTTGAAAATTGGGAATTCGAATTTCTAGGAGGGTACTTCCGAGCAGTGGAATCTCGTCTTCTACATCTCGACGGTGATTGCTTTGTTGCCGTGTGTGACGTTCACAATTTTTGGATCGGCTAAAGTAGGTCGTCCGCAGTCTGCATGCTAAGTACAATTCAATTTAATTCAATTTGTTTCTCTAGGTTCAACCCTGGGCTACGATGCATAAAAATTCGGCTTCTTCAGCTAAAAATATCGAATCAAAATCAAAGCTAGATGATGTCGATTAAAAAAAAAAAATGAAGCAAATTTTCCACTATCACCTTGCCAATTCATGCATTTAAACTATTATTTTCATTTTTATTCCTTTAATTTAGTAGATAGTCATTTGTTTTGACGTTATTTAAGAGCATTTAACGCTTGGCACTGACGTCAAGCGTTAAATCAAGTCAGCTTGACGCTATTTAAGAGCATTTAACGCTTGGCGCTGACGTCAAGCGTTAAATCAAGTCAGCTTGACGCTATTTAAGAGCATTTAACGCTTGGCGCTGACGTCAAGCGTTAAATCAAGTCAGCTTGACCCTATTTAAGAGTTATACGGGCAAAAAGTTATTCAAAAATGAATTACAAATTAAAAATTCACCGTGTAGAGGAAATAAAAGTTTAAGAATTTTGCAAAAATCAAGCATTTCAAGCAAAAATCAAAGAATTCTGCAAAAATTATGATCAAGCAAACCAAAGATTAACAAGAACACGCTATCCAGTCAATATCTTCACAAATTTGCATACTTTATAAATAAGAGTTTACAAATTTATGCCTTTTTCAAATAGCTGGTTTGTTGGTTCAAATAGCTGGTTTGGTTGTCTTCTTCTCGACGATTTTCGTCTCCCCAGAGACAGAGAATGAATGCAATTTGACCATCACATCGAACAGACTAAAAAGCAAACATTTTAGTAGAGTTATGTGAAGAGAAAGCGTTAACTAACAGTGCGTCAAGCTTATAAAGCTTTTATATTGAAAACAAACACCAACCAATCAACAAAAGTGTCCGTGTTGGCGATAAAGAAAGGCGAGAGATCGGAGCGCATCGCCTTCTCTTTCCCACCATCACCATCACGTAATCTAGACGCAGAATATCACCGAGTTCTTAGAAACTTTGCTCACCAGGCAGCTCATCTTCCACGTAGACGTCCAATTCTTTAAGCCGACGAGCGATTGCTGCCTGAAAAAAGAAGCTACGTTTTAGCAAGTGAATGAAAGTGTATTGCTACGAGCTTAGATTCGGTATTGACATTAAATAAGAGAAACTCTGACGGTTTCGGACAAAATCTCTTCAAGATTTTACCATTTTCACAATTTTTTAAACATTCAGCAACATTAGGACGTTTCTTTTCCATTTCAAAATCATCTTGATCAAGTTTGGTACAAAATTTGGCGCGTTTTCAATAGAAATTCATCTTTTTCCTCTTTACATAGCTTTTTAGCCTTGAAAACAACATTAGTTTTAGCATTCGTTGCTTTAAAAGCACAAGCCTTTTCCAGCAAATCTAAAAAACACCTTACCTTCAGCTTTTTTTGGATATCCGTCGTCTTCTCGACGATTTCCGTCTTCCCGGAGGTGCCTGCTGAATGCAATTTGGCCATCACATCGAACAGCTTAAAAAGCAGACATTCTAACTGAGCTAAAGAAGAAAAAACCAAACCTTAACTGAGCTAAAATCTTGTAAACCAAAAGATTCACATTCAGGCAGAAATCTTCCAAATCCTTTGATCGAAAGTAAACACCAACCAATCAACGAAAGTGTTGGCGCCGAGGAAAAGCGAGAGATCGCATCACCTTCTTTTCTTTTTTGTTCACTACCATCACCATCACGTAATCTAGAGCCAGAATATCAACCAGTTTGTGGAAACTTTGCTCACCAGGCAGCTCATCCTCGACGTAGACGTTCGCCGTCATTACCACCAAGTAACCTAAAGTCAAAATATAAACGAGTTCCTCAAAACATTGCTCACCAGGCAGCTCATCCTCGACGTAGACGTTCAATTCTTTATGCCGACAAGCGATTGTTGCCTGAAAAAAGGATGTTACATTTCAGCAAGTGAACCAACACGAGCTTAGCTTCGGTCTTGGCATTAGACAAAAGAAATTTTGACAAAGAAACACTTTGGCCTTATTTTTTCACTTTAAAATCATTTTGGTCAATTACAAAATTTTGCATTTTTCAACAAAAACAAAACAAAAACATCTTACCTAGCTTTCAAGCGTTAAAAATCCACATTTTCTCGTTGTTTTAGCATTTCGTACTTGTCGAAAAGCGAGATTCGTCTCATTAAAGACTATTGTTAAAGACTAAAATAAAATTAAACAGCACAACAAATAACTGAATATCTTTTGTAAAAATTTATAAATAAAACGCTCGCCAAACAAAAATCATTCTTTCGGGAGGTGGTCAAAACAGCGCAAGGTTCATTTTTTTTCTAGTTTGCCTAGCTTTTTATAGTTTTTATGGTTTTGCTTGTGTTTTTAATCTTTTTTTCATTAAATCTTTCTAGTGCACGGCTATGAGTATCTTAAAAGCAGAAAAAAACCATTTAATTTACCCACACAAATCATTTTTCGAATGAAAATATGAAATTTTCTTGGTTTTTTTCAAATCTACCCCTAAACTGCTTGTTTTTAATGTTTCTGCTAGTGTTCTTGCGGTTTTTTTAGTTATTTGTGCCCAGGGCAGGCATGGTTGCACCTTTTGCGCAAAAATTCCTTTTATTTAGCCACAATTCACCCATTTTAAGCAAAAATATTTGATTGTTTTGATTCTTTAAAGGATTTTCTTATTATGCTTTACTTTATTTACGTTTTAAAGTAGTTTTTTTCCTTAAAAGTGCTTTTTAGATAATTTTTGGCGTAGATTAGGAATTAATTTAATTTATCTAGGTTATGGCCTCGCATCTTAATACAGCTCAAGACAAACGGATCTTCGGACTATAGCACCCCGGAACGCGTCGACTTTTTATATATGTGAAGCCTTTCGCATCCACAAAACTCACAACAACGCGCAACCTTTCGGCTTTAGCAGACGACGCAAATACGTGGCTATTACTGATTTTGCTAGATTCAACACAATATAGCTAATAGACAAAAAAATTTGGTCACCTCGAATCGGTTAGCCCTATAGGCTGCGTCACATTCATCCAAAACTCTACGGATGACTTCCTTATAGTTAAGGTAATTCCCAGCGATTTAGAACGCGGCTTTGCAGTTTAAAAATCCTGTATCGATCGGTTAAATTAAGAGCTAAAAGGCATATTGGCTATTTATTTAGCTCTTTTCTATAAATCTTTATTTAGAGACTAAGCGATGCTATAATTCGTTGCCGACAGCAATTCGACAACCGAATGAATGGAGTTCAACCAAATCGTAATTTTTAAAAAGCTTTAAATTCGATAGTCAAGGTTAAGATTAATTTAAATTTAAATAATCAATCTAATTTAGGCATATCGTGAAAGTGACCTAATTGGAGCAGGAGGAACGCTTAACAACATGCATATTTTCAGCGGAAGGACACATCAATGACAAATCCGAAGCAATCAAAGTTAAATTCAAGGTACTTAACTTTATTTTTAATCAAAAAGGTTGTTAATCAAGGTTGTTCAGTGTACATATCAAAATTTTAACAAGACTTAGCAAGGAAATGTCGTTTTTATCCCTCATCTTTGAACACATATCAGTATTTAAACGAAAATTCATTTTTTAAGGCTAAATTTTAGGTGAAGATACGCCTGTAGAAGTCGGAGATCGAAACAAAAATAAAAGCAAAAGAATTTCTCGGATGTTCGGTCGATCACCACTTGCAAACAATGTTTATTGTCTTTTGAGTCATCGTACAAGTTGCAGGTAGATAATTTTTACTTGAGAGGCTTATTTGTTGTAGCTGACATGATAAAGTTTAATCTTTAGGTTCGTTATACGAAATGTCGTTTAAGGTTGAAGCTGCTATTAACGCGGCTTGTCAGATTTGCGAGAAGTGCCCGTTTTACTTGAGCATCTTACTCTGCATACTCCAAAGGTGGGTTTTATTGAAATGTTCTAATGATACGTGTTTTTCAGGTTGCTCTATATGCATGCCAAGTCAAATATTGGAAGTGTCGAAGTACTCAACGAGGTTCTTCAATCACTACATTCAGGTTGGACTTATCATTCTCAGTCATCAACGGCATATTTTACCACAACGCCAACTGCATGTATTCTGTCCATTCTGCACAACCTGCTTTCACGATCTCAACTTCGGGAGATGTCATTACTTGTAAAGGTTTGTCGATCATATGGCAGAACATGAAAGAGTTACGGTGAGGCTTAATGAAGTTTACCCGTTTTCTTTAGTTTTGACAACATATCGTTGCTCCAATTGCGCTTATTCTTTTTTGAGTCGCGGCAACATGGAAAGACACTACGCCGATGGTCGTGAGGGAAACGTTTCCCCTAAATGGACCATCAAGCAATTGGTAAACTTTATAATAAACTAGTAAGTTTTTAAAAAAACTGCCTGCAGACGCGTTCCGACAACAAAAAGTTGACTCAATTCACATAATGGTAGAACACTTGTTGCTAAGATTTGTTTCATTTACTTTTTGAGGGTACTGCCAATTGTTATGCCTGCATTGTTAACGGATTAGTTGTGACGCGATGTGCTAAATGTAAAATCGCCGCTTATAAATCGATTTTGAAGTTTGAAAAAGTTGGTTTGCAAAAATATTGTCCTGCATCTTTCAAAATTTAGCTTTCCAAAGAAAACCTTGTACGTTACATTGCTACTAATGGAGGGTTTGTTGAACTTTTTAAAAATATCATTCAATCAATTCAGATATTTAAACGAATAGTGTGGCTTTGCAACGAGAGATGAAAATTTGATGGCCACACGCCATTGGAAAGTCTGTAACTCTCTGGATTTAGCGAAAATAAAGATGGATCAGTAGGTTTTTTTCGTTTTAATCGTAACATCTTGAGAATTTAGCTCTAAACAAGCTCTCAAGAAGATGTTTTTGAAGCAAAAATTCTTTGCCGTCGTTCAAGTTTGTTCTTGAGTCGATCAAAGTTAATTCAAATCACATTCAGCCTTCTGTGCCTCAAATGACTACGGTGGGAAACGTTTTGAAAGTTTTTCAGAAGATTCGAGACGAATTTGCGGATATCGACGATTCAGAATCCAAAATGGTGTAAGTTTTTGAAATTTCGAACACAAATTATTACGGTTCTTAGGAGAGCAGAATTTAATGGCATTCGCCGAAGCTTCCATCAGTTTGACGAATACGAAAATGATGAATGAGTAACCTTTTTACTTTTGAAATTTTAAATAAGTTATGCTAACTAAGAACAGGTCTATTCAACGTAATCTTTGTCTTTTCCATTAACATTGTACTTTATCTAGTGTCAAAGTTAAAGGTTTATAAATAAATTATTTTATTTTCATAAAAGGAATCCCAGTTAGACATTCCAGGATCCACGTGTGCCAGAGTTCATTAAGAAATGCGTGAATCTTTGATTTCAGTGTGCAGTAATATTTAAACAATTAGAGCACTTAGTGATACGTTGCCCGCCTTTGGCATAGCTCTTCATATTGGCGGGTTGATATTGGCTCAAAGCTTTATATCAGCTCAAAGCTTTATATCGGTTCAAAGCTTTATATCAGCTCAAAGCTTTATATCAGCTCAAAGCTTTATATTGGTTGCCATCTTACTACAGTGGTGTATAACTTTTCCCCTAGAAAGCTTTCTTTTATCTCAAATTCAATAAATGATCATCGATTCCACATGCGGTTCTTAAAAAAAGATGCAATTCGACATTCGACAATTACGTCGTTTCTCCTATTTGACACTTTATCTACCGTACCCTTGTGACTGCCCGTCTCATTTAGCGACTCTCCATTCTCTCGCCCATATCATTCACTTTCGAAAGCCCAAACACTTTTTTGTGCGCATTGTCTTCGTGTTTTGCCAACTTTTAATTCGATTTTAGTTAGCTTTTGAACTAAGCTTGAAGGCAATTAGCGCAAAATTCTGCTCGATTTTATCAATTTTGACCTTTCGATATTGATGTCACTTTTGCTTTGCTTTTGCTCGCTTTCAAACCGCTTCTTGCTTGTTTCCTGACGATTTTCTCAGATAAATTCTTGTGTTTCATTCATATTCCTCGATTTTGTTTACCAGAAAGCCTACAGGATGAAATTTGCTCGTTGTTACTTGGCAAAACGTTGACATTTTGCAAAATATGGGCCATTCTTGCATTTCCAGAAAAAATCTTATTGTTTGCAGTGTTAATTTGACGCGCATTTTGCCCATTGAACGGCTATCGCATAGCCTAGCTTTTAGTGTTTTCCTTTTGTCAATTAAACTGTTTCTTTTCGCTATTTCTCGTGTTAGTCTAATTTTTCTCTTTTCCAGGCAAAAAATGCGTGGTCGTTTCAACGAGCGTCGCGATGTGCGCGACATGCGCTCGAAGAATCGCTTCATCCGACTCGGCGGTGCCCATGATCCCGATATTTTACCCACCCGTCTCGACGACGATGATCAAGAACCTTGTGAGTTACTAGACCTGACTTATGGACGCTAGAACCCGCCCCGCTAGACGCTAGAACCCGGTCCGCTGGACCTGACTTATGGGCGCTAGAACCCGCCCCGCTAGACCTGACTTATGGACGCTAGAACCCACTCGTAATGTTCTGCGACAGAACGTTCTAGTTAGTGAGCCGAATCCTTACTGAATTCGGTCCACGCCTTAAGGAGAAGTCCTGTAATTGTTATTGGGCAGTTTATAAAGTGCTAATGAATCGTTAAATGAGCCAAAAAGTACCAAATCTACGTCTGCTGAACAATTTCTTTTCTTTTCAGCATTTCAAGTCCGCGTGAATCGTCAATCCGTGAACACGATCAATCGACAATTGGGGGCTGGTGGCTCTGGAATGCAAAGAATGACTGGCGGAGGACAGAACAAGTTCACGACACAAAACAGAAAAGTGGGCGCTGATTTTGGAAACGTTTAATAAGTCGTTTAGAAGAAGCAAACGGTTCTCATTGTTTCCATTTCCAGGTCGATCACCGCTCTCGTATTCAACAGCAAGCGATCGCGGCCGACGGTGGCGTACGCAAGGATGTGGTTATGGTCTTTCAAATCAAGGTCAGCTTTATGGGCATATTTCTTTTCACATTGAAACTTTTTAGGTGAAACATGGCGGCACTTATGGTCTAAGTTGGATTGTAAAGCAATTGGGATCACGGGTAAATGGCTTTCGGTTTGAAATTAACTTATTTTTTTTGCTTCAGGTCGAAGATTTCAAACCGATCCTACCCGAGGTGGATCAACAGAACAATGCGTCGTTTTACGTGAAAGACGCGGAACAAGCCGAATCAATCATGATGTTGAGCAATCGAATACGACACAAAGAAACGAACACTGCGCTGAGGATGTGGAAAAATGAAGTGAGTAGTTGGTGTGGGAGTTGGCTATGCAATAAATGGCTTGAATTCAACCCATCCTCATTGCCGATTCGTAAAGAATAGCATTTGAGACGTTCATTGTGATCATCAAGCTTCACTCATCACTAAAATGTCATATTATTCAACTCCGAACTTACTTCAGTTGATCTAAAAAGCAAATTGACGATGCTGAATTGTTTTTACAATATAGTACAAACTTTTTGTTTTGTCACAAGAAAATGCTGCATTTATTTGAAAAAGGCTAACCTTTATGAACAATTCGGCACTAGCAGGATGCTCTTGGAATCTTTCAAAGCAAAGCCAAAATTCAGCATTAGACCTGACTTGGGCCACCCAGATGCCAAAGTTCGACTTGACTTCTTGAGTACTTGTACTTGTTCGCTTGAGAAGCAACTTTGATTGTGTTTTTGAAAGTGTTTGCCGTACCTATTCCTTTAAAAAGACTAATACCTATGGGTCTTCCTCTTGACAAATTCAACTCAATTTCTTTAGGTAGTCGCCCCATGGCGTCGTCTTTCCGCGGCCGACGTTGAATTGCTGAACGCGGTGATCGACTCGCGATACAACGGGGAAGCACGAGCACTTGATCTCGCTGAATTCTCAGCTGATAAACGTGAGGAGTTTTTCTATCCTTGTCTTTAAAAACTTCTCATTTTAGGACTCACCGGCTTTATGTTCCGTCTGACAAGCAATAACGTGATGCTGCACGTGTTGGACCGAATCGATGAATGCTATGGACATTTGACGGCATTAAGCTTGAAGGTTTGTTTGAGGAATTCAACTCAATTCACTCGATTCAACTTTAGTCGAACAAATTGGATTCACTGGATTGCACGTCGATGCTATTGTGGGCGACCAAATTCGTCAAAGTCCTTGATTTGTCAAGCAATGAGGTTTGTTGAGTCGATGTTTTGCGACAACTCAGAAATTCCTATTCGCAGATTCGCAAAATGGACCAAGTCGCCAAACTGAAGGGGCTACCCGTCGAGATGGTTTTCTTAGAGGGAAATCCTCTGTGCGACGAATTCACCCGAAGCTCTGACTATCTCAGGTTATACTATCTTTTTCACGTGCAGCAATTCTTTCAAACGCTCACATCGATCTTTTGCCGGTTTTTCCTCGTTTTTAGTGCGAATTGTGCTCCGGTGTGATCTGTCTGTCAGAAATGTCATTGTTGTGTCTCTAATCGAACATTTAGCGCCGTGCACAATATTTTCCCGAGAGTCAACATGCTAGTGAGTTTTTAAAAACAATACTATTCGCGAGGTTAACGTTTGAAGCTGCTAAAACTTGATGCTTTAGGATGGAAACGCCGTGACGCCAATACTGACTGGAGTGGACCCGCTGGATGTCGGAATTGAGCCATTGTATCGGGTACGGTTAGAGCTTGTTGACTCACATTGGCTTGGTTCACATTCCGTTTTAGCCTTCCTACTTTGGAGATCAACCACAAGTCAAGGAGTTGATCGAGGGATTCTTGCTACGCTTTTATGAGGTAAACATTGGACTTTTGGATCACTTGATCCTATTTCATTTTAGATCTACGATGGTGACAATCCGTTGATGGATCGCAAGAAATTAGCTGACGCCTATCATGATGAAGAGGTGTGACTTTAATCATTTTGCTGGCTTCATGTCAAAATTTCAGTCGATGTTCACTTTGACGCTTCAAAACTTCTCGAATGCGAGTGGAAAGTCGTGGAAATATCACCCTGAGTGAGCTCACATTATGACCTTTATTGAGAACACAACTTTTTCTAGGGAATGCTTTCATGCCTACATTCGTCAGTCGCACAACTTGAAACAATTGGACAAATGGGATACGAGACGAGCTGAGAGAGTGCATGTGGTGAGTGAAATTATTCTTTAGACTTTTGAGAAAAGATAACGTGGCTAGAAAGTGTGTAGAGTGTTCAGCATTTGAGCTTATGATTATTTTCTTTTTTTTAGGGAGCCATGTCAATTGTTGTCGCTCTTGCCAAACTGCCAAAGACGTCACATCTCAAAGACTCCTTCACACTTGACGTCTCGCTTGTTACGGTACGGGTTTTTTGAATGAAAACTCTACGATTATCTTCTAGAGCACATTGATGGCCTTTTCGTTGTCGGGTCTCTTCGAGGATGGACCGGGTGTTCGATCGGGCGATGTGCCGGAACTCAAATACTTCAATCGTCAATTCGTCGTTGCTCCAAGAGATGCGAGGTACTAGAATCCGCTTATTAGATAGAAAATTGTATGCTGAACGCAGCTAGGCTCTTACTGCTAGCTCGGACTTGAAGATCATTTTTCAATCGATTTGCTTTCAGCTCCTTGGTGATCATCTCTGACATGCTCTTCATCTCGTCGCTTCACCCGCCACGTTTGGAGAAATTCAAGAAGCTCCAGGAGAAAGCTGCCAAGAATGCTTTGGTTAGTGATTCGTGGAATCCTTTTGTAAAGTCGAGCTTTTAGGCGCCAAGCACATCCCAGACAATGCCTATCGTGTCAGCGGTCGTGGATGTGAATTTGACTCAACCGCCGCCACCAATTGCGCAAATGCCAATTAATGGAGAGCCGGATAATGAGGTAGAATTTGAGAAACAAAGCTTAGATGAAACATTAGTTGTATTTAGAGTGCGTAGCAGCACTAGTAAGTGCTGAGTAAAAATTTAAAGGTTTAGCCGGATTTATTGATATTGATTTATTGATTAGTCTTTTTGTGCCTAGCTGACCAAGTTCTATCATTTCATGTGTAGAGCCGATTTGTTAGCCAAGCCGATCACCGTTTAATCACAACTAATCTCTGATCTTTAGACGAAGCTCGAGATGATCAAGCAATTCTCGCAGCAATCCGGAATGAAGCCCGACTGGAGTGAGAAGTGTCTGCAGGACTCGAATTGGAACTTTGAGCAGGCCGGCCAGAATTTCCTCGTCGCCCGTGCAACCATCCCGGCCGATGCTTTCGTATAGTGAAGTTTTCCCTTCACTTTTAGTACCCCAAAGATGTTAGTATCTTCCCCCCCTCCCCATTTCTTTTATACTTTATCGATTAGTTCTCTTCCCCCACGAAATATTCTTCGGTGAATCTTTCTATTTTTGTTGTTGTCTCCGATTTTGTATTGGCCCCAAAACCCGTTAAATCCCTTCTCCTTTCATTTCCCGTTGCGCTTTTGTGAGGGTTTTTCGTTTGTATAGCTGATAGGGAAATTTTCAGGAAATCGACAAAGTTTCTTCGGTCTTGAGCGCTCAAAAATGAGAGAATTCTTGTTCTAGGCAAAAAGTTTGATCAAAAAAACGCAAAGCGATCTCTCTCTGGCAATGAGGAGTGGCCAAATGTCTTAATCAGTGAAAAATTTCGATAATCTCGAAGGTCTGTGGCTTTTTTAACAACCCCAGCAGCTCAATTTTGTGTGAAATTTTCACACGGAGCTCCATTTTCTCATCATTCTTCCTTTTTTCGCGGCTCAGGGTCCATCGCATGGATCACCCAAGAAAAAAAAACCGCTAAAGCCACATGGAATTGCAAAAAAAACTTTAAGCAAATGATCATTTGCTCGAGAAAAATGAAACAATTATTTGAGGGACGAATCGCTTCTTTCAAATTTTCCGCACACAGAACTCGAAGAATTCTCTCATTTCGAGCGTTTCGAGATTGGTTTTTGTTTGCCAAGCGAAAAAGCTATACGAATGCCAAAACCCATTCATATTCACATTGTCCTTATTTTTGTTATTTTCTTTACAAAATTTCGTGTTGTTGTCGAATTATTTTCTCTTCGTTGTTTCATTTATTTTGTTCTTGCTACACGTTTGACCGTTTTGTTGTCGCGTTTTCAAATTTCGTGTGTGTTTTGTGTGATAACACGACAATCGTTTACCATACAAAATGTGATATTTTACAAAAAAAAACTTCAGAAAATTAAACTCGAAATAACAAGGCAAGGCAAACAAGAAAAAACACCACAGACAAGAAAAGTAGGTGTTACTGGGGTCAGCCTCGGCACCAGAGCCAGACAAGCAAAGTTATAGTTGTCAGAAATCTTGCTTTAGCTCATTGAACCTTAGCACGAGTACTGGACGTGTATTTTTAACACTCTCGCGACGATACGATCCACATTTGGGTCGAACGTGATCTTTTAAGTGACTTTTGGTCCGATTGGGCTCAAAATTTGCACTTGGGAGCTTTCGGGGATGGCGAATTCGAAACCGGCGTTCGTTTTTCAGAATGGTGTAAAAGAAAACGGGTTTAGAGCCTGAAAAGATTAATTTTGCCTTAAAATCAATTCTCGAATATGGCTCTTTCGATCGCGATCTTTGAAGACCAATATAAAATTTTCCGCTGAACAAATTCAGTTGATTTTCGTGTTAAAATGTTGGAAAAAAATCTCTCGTTTCAATATGTGAAAAGAGACCGCAAAAATCGGCAATTTGATAAAAGTTATTCATTTTCGGATAGAAGTACTCGAGATTCGCGCTCTTTGTGCATTCTTTTCATGTGTCGCCCGTAGGAAAAACGGCATCTGGCGCACTTGGCGAATTACACCAAAAAATGGATTCATGGGCCTGAACTCCGCCATAGTCCTGTTTTTTCGCCTTTAAATATTCGGAGAATTCGATTTACGGTCTCTAATAGTAAGGGATCTTTTTGTGCGTTCTTTCGATTCCCCAAATTGACGGAGACCAAAAGCTTTGTTCCAAAAGAACAACACGTAATAAAAAATATTTGTTTGAAATATTGGCCCCAGAAAAAAAAGATAGATTTTGAGAAATAGGAGAACACGAAAAAAGACACTGTACAGACGATAGGCGACAGGGATCAGACTTGTAAATGGTGGCGAAACGAGACATTTCGCAAAATATTCATTTGGCTGTTTGGCGACTCTGAGATGTCCAATTACAAGCCTGATTCGCGATAAAATAGCGCGAAAATAAATAATTTTACAAGAGAGGAAAATAATCGAAAAAGGGCACTCAATAATTAACGAGAACGTTAAAGATATTCACATTGGAAAGTGTTGAATGAAGAAAAACAATAATAAGGATGGGGAAGAAAAAGCCAGATCACACAAGAATAACGACAAATAACCGGTGGAGTGACGGGGAAAAAAAGAGACTGACAGACTGCATGTTGATGGGAAAATTTTAGGAATTTAAGAAAATCGGTGTATTCTTTTCAACAAAAACGCCCGCGATGGAAAACTTTCAAAAAAAAAAGTAACTGTAAACTGTCAAATAGTGGTTCCCTGGTGGCTAATCGATTCTCTAAAAGACACCTTTTTATTCAATTACCGTAATCTGTCCGCCAGTTTCCGCTCAATCAGTCCAATTTTGGCCACATTCGATGAGGATCAGTCAATGTGACAAAAATTGGGTTGATCGAATTGAAAACTGAAGGGCAAATTGCGGTAGCTGAATAAAATAGATATCTTTTAGAAGTTAGCCGAGCCGATAGGAACAGCTCTAGTGCCAATGGGTTGTCTGACATCTAGATTGAACAATTAAAACTTTAAAACACACTTCTAAAGATCTGAAAGCTTAATTTTCTGGCTATCATCAAAACCGAGCGTTTTCATTCAAAAGGGTACACAATCCTTTAAAATTCTTTAAATACAATACTCCTTTTCAATTCGCTTTCCATGTGTACTGTGTTCGGGAGCCCGATTGGCGATGTGCTTGAATCGGAACAGCTGAAGCAGCAGTCGATTGTTGAGCCGGTCCATGGTAGAAAGCGCAACTCGCATTATAGCAGCTGTAGCCGAATTTGCACGCCTAAATGATGGAAATTAGCTTTTAACCCAGATTACAGCGAATGCCCTTCAAAACCCGCTTACCGGTGGATGCTTGAAGGTACATTGCGAATTCCTACAACCAGCACCATAAATACACGGCACCGTTGGCACTTTCGGAGCGACAGCGAGGCTGGAATGAGCAAGAAATTAGATAAACGTCAAAAAGACTGACTCAGCAGTGTAATCCTGGCTGTTCTCCTGGTATGGGTTGGTCGCATTGTACGTGCTCATCGTTTTCATCATTGGCCTCACGATGGCCGACGGTCGATTGTACGAGGGTTGAGAGGAGAGCGCGAGGACGGCGGCCGGAAAGGTTCCTGAAATGGAAAAGCGCTAGGTTTGGTTGGTAATGTGTGAATACAATCTGAAACGTGAGCTAAACTTGTTGTTATTGTTGTACTTTTAAATCTAATGGCCTCCACTAAATGCACAAAATGACAGCACTTCTAGGATTCAGAGCAATAGACAAGTCGTTCCAGCACATCAAAAATTATACCTGTTTCCGAGTGTGTGAATGAGCAGCTCGTGTTCTTGCATTGCGCGTTGAATCGGCAGACCGGATGAATGTAGAGACATGACGAGCCAAAAGTGCAATTGGGGAAAGCACTAAAAGGGGGAACATTAGTTGAAAGAAACCGCTCCAACACACCTGCACGCTTTGCTCGGATGCACAAAACCGCACGAGAAACCGCGCGTACAATTCGGCCAATACTTGCATTTACCGTTTGCCTGAACGAAATGTTGAGTTTAGAGGGAAATAAGCACAAACCTTGTTCACATGATTTTGCGTCGAGGTGCCGGTCGTGTATTGCATCATCGAGTCCATCAAAATTGGCGATGATCCTTCGGGGGACGGGCCCTAGAAATGAGAAAATTAGTTGTCAAATGCACCTTCTAGATTTGAATCTGTGTTTTAACGTTTAAAGGTCGAACTTGACTTATCTTCGAGATAAAATTTTTAGAATATACCTTTTGAATTGGAGTCGGCACATAAATGGCTTCAGTTGGCGTTTGCACCGGTGAGTAGTTGCCCGAATAGGAGTTGCCTGAAAATTGAAAAGTTAAACTGTAAAAGCAATGAAATCATTAAGTGGTAAGCTTATAGAACTACCTTAACGTCTAGTCGTGTTTTTGGATGTTGGCTACGATATCAAAGTACAATTAAACCAGAAATGCCATTTATGATACTTTTAAACCATTTAGAACTAACTTAGAGAACAATAAAGGCGTAATTTAACCACTAGGAAAGTTTTAAACGGGTGCATTCTTTGTAAGCTAAACAAAGTAAGACCAGAGTCCCGTCAGAAGCCAGGTCCTGAACTTTTATGGGCCAAACCTGCAGTTAAACCAGGGCCTGGCTTGTGGTCTTACTTCTAGAATAACCCTGTTAACCGCACAAGCATTGTCTTCTCCACAATCCATTGTCCTAAGTCGTCGTAATGATTTTAAAGCAAGTTACCCATAATTTCCCCTTTGGTTTCTTGCACTTTGTCATTCTTAGGACGACCTCTTGACAAAAGGACTGTCGGCGGGAGCTCCTCGTCGCTTTGCTCTCCATCACCATCACCATCGCCACGAGCCGAAGGAATGACTCGACGAGTTGACGCGAGAACCGCATCGATTTGCGCCTCTGAATAAGGAAATTGTTGAGGATTTGGATCGAATTGGTTCGTTTTTAAACCAAATCAATGAGCTATTTGTTTTTTTTTCTCGCCGAATCTCTCACGAACCATCGTCATCACTCGATTCGGCATCCAATTTGATTTTTCCATTCCATTCCACTGGCAAATGAAGCTAAAAGTAGAGTTTAGAGGTTAGTGGTTAAATCGACCAAATAGACCTTTTCTTTCTTCGGTGACGATTGAGCGAGTGGTTTTACCGGTGAGAAGTTGAGTGCGACGAGGGCTTTCTTCTAAAAAGGAACATTTGAGAATCATTAAGAATGGAACCTTTTCAACATATCTCGGTGGTGGAACATAGGTCTCATCGGGAGCCGAGATTCGCATGTGTCGCGGGCGTTTATCCTTGGTTGGCTCCATTGCAACATCTAAAAAATATGGAATAGCTGTGTGTAAAAGACTTTGTCAACTTTTTTTGTTCTTCTTTAACAAAAAAAAATGCAATTTTTTGGTGGTTCCGAATTTTTTATCAAACAGTTGCCCTTTATTAGAAGTACGCCCTCTAGCAGATTCTTTCCACCTCTAGCAATCTATCCGGTACTAGATTCGTTTATTTTACTCTTTGTCTTTGACTTAATTTAGACCAGTTTCTATTACTCGACCCATGGCCAGGCCATAAGCTAAAGTTCTGGATTGACTTCTTGTTTGAGCCACAAAAAGTCACTGGGAACACGAGTGACCGAGGATCAGGCCAAAAGTTAAGTCAAAAGTCTGACCTTGCTTTGCCTGCCCTGGCTTATAAATACTAGGGATCGATTAGAATTAGTCGACCCCATCAAGTCCCTCACCCTTTTTCTCGTCCTCCTGTTTTATGTGTCTTTTCTGTACATTTCGCGGATGTTGACTTTGCTTCATTGTGATGATGAACTTGGTTGGACCATTCGTTGACGAAACCGCTTTTGACTGTGCCGCTCCAACGGCCGCCATCAGCATCGCCTCATCATCATTTTGCTCATCGTCATCCGTTCGCGGCTCGGATTCACTTCTAAACGGTTACAATTTTATTTTCATTGAATCGGTGTCTACTTTGGACAATAACTCCTGGAGAATTCCCTAATCAGACGCTTTTTACTTTTCACTTCCCGGACTCAACTATGCTTAAACAACTAATAGTTTCAGCTTTAAGCGTTAAAAAGGCCTAGCTTTAAAGATGTTTATGTTTCTCAGGAAATCCAGTTAACCCCTCACCGGTTCTGCAAGTAAATTGCATGACATTTCTTCTATAATCCTGTCTTAAACTCACCTCGATCCATAGTCGACTCGATTCGCGATACATGGCCGCTTCGACGTCGATGCCTGATTGCTTCTGTTGTTGGCACTTTGATTGGCAGCCGCGACGGCACGTTGCAAAATGCTGGTGGCCCCGCGAGCGCTTTTCGTGCTAAAAAGATGAAGATTAGGTATTCCATAGTAATTATCCATTTTTTATATAAAACTAGTAATCTTGATGCAAAAGGCATAGAAAAGTGTATAGATTTGTTAGTTTTTGATCCTGCCATGGCCTAGACACGTCTACCACATCATATATTATCTTAATATCATAGATTGCTATCAACTTACTCATTGACAGGCTGCGGTTTGCGTTTAACAACGATTCGAGAAGAAACTGTAGGCATTGGGTGCTCGGTATCGAGCTTCTCGACAACTGAAGCAACACGATAGCGCGGCCGCACTCCGTCCTCATCGTCGGACCAAGTGTTTGAGCGATCACGGCGATTGCGATGATGCTAAAAATTGTAAATGTTATCTGGCTTCGCTTTTTAAAAGGTTTAAGTAAGCTTAAAAAAACCTAGAAACAGTGTCTAAACAGGCTATGACTCATTTTTCGACGCCTTAAACGAGTTTACAAGAGCTAGAAGCAATGCTCAATTGTCTGCAGCTTTGACAAAAGGCTTAAACGGGACTTACAAGCGCTAGTCCTAGTGCCCAACTCAAGCCTAACTCATTTTAACGCCTTAAACCAGCATAAAAGAGTTAAAACAGTGTCTGAGTCAATTTAATTTGCCTAAAGCTTCTTATAAAGGCTTAAATAGGTTTTACAAGCGCTAAAACCGGTGCCCAATCAAAGTCGACTGATGTTGAAGTTTAAACAAGCTTACAGAAGCCAATACAAGAGACAGATAGGATTATACTCTAGCTTAAGGGACGCTAGAACCAGCACCTAATCAAGGCTGACTTATTTTAAAGCTTTAAACAAGTTCCACGACCATTCTTTACAATAAAAATCCCCTCTGTGCACCTTATGGTGTCTTTCCTCGTGTCTCGATCGTTCTTCCGCTTCTCGTTGTTGTCTTTGTCTTTCCCTTTCTTTTTCCTTTTCCCGTTCCTCTTTTTCTTTCTCCAATCGCCTCAGCTCCTTTTCTTTGTTTCTAAAAATATAATTTTATTTTAAAATCCTTTAAGATGTCACCTTTTCCTTTCCTCTTCCAACTTCTCTTCTCGTTCCTTTTTCGCCTTTCTTTCAGCTTTCTCTTGTTCTTCTTTATGTCGACGTTCTCGTTCCTAAAATTTCGTGGTATTACGAGAAAGAAAGTTGGACAAACTTTTAAGTTCTTAAATTTTTTTACCTTCCTCTCCTTTTCCCGTTCGGCTCTTTCACTTTCTTCTTTCGCTTTTCGTTCCTTTTCTTTCAGCTTTTCCTTGTCCCTTGATGGGCTCGGATCACGAGTCTTTTGAGCAACTAAAATCAGAGTTTACAGATTAATACCCTTTTCAAATACCTGGTTTAGTTTCCGTTTTCCCGGAGGCTGAATGCAATTTGGCCATGACATCGAACAACCTAAAAAGCAGAAATTCTAATTGCGTTATGTGAAGACAAAGCGTTAACTTCAAACAATCATATTGTAAAAAGATTCAGGTAGAAATCTTACAAATCCTTTAATCAAAAGCAAACACCAACCAATCAACAAAAGTGTCCGTGTTCGCGCCGAGGAAAAGCGAGAGATCGGAGCGCATTGCTTTCTTCTCTTTCTTGTTCGCTACCATCACCATTACGTAATCTAGAGCCAGAATATAAACGAGTTCCTGGAAACTTTGCTCACCGGGCAGCTCATCTTCGACGTAGACGTCCAATTCTTTAAGCCGACGAGCGATTGCTGCCTGAAAAAAGAAGCTACGTTTTAGCAAGTGAATGAAAGTGAATTGCTACAAGCTTGCTTCGGTATTGACATTAAATAAGAGAAACCTGAACCGTTTCGGACGAAATCTCTTCAAGATTTTACCATTTTCACAATTTTTTAAGCATTCAGCAGCACTAGGCCGTTTCTTTTCCACTTTGAAATCATCTTGGCCAAGCTGGGTACAAAATTTTGCGCGTTTTCAATAAAAATTCATCTTTTTGCTCTTTACATAGCTTTTTAGCCTTGAAAACAACATTAGTTTTAGCTTTAAAAGGCTTTAAAAGGCTTCGGGGCTTTAAAAGCACGAGTCTTTTCCAGCAAATCTAAAAAACACCTTACCTTCAGCTTTTTTTGGATATCCGTCGTCGACATTCTTCTCCCTCACAGCACGACAAGATCCCACTAAACTTGAGAAATCTCAGTACAAGCAGCAACAAATATCAGATACGAAGAGAGAAAAAACCCGTTACTCGAGGAAAGAGGGAGTGTTCACGAAAGTGGTTAGGATTAGGAGAAATGCGTGGAAAACTACGGTCAACGTGACAAATTTTAGCTCTTTGTACACTTTTTCAGGGAAAAGAGGGGAAAACACGGAAAAAGTTTGGCAAAACGACAAGTTTCGCTGAAAAAACGCCAGGATTTCGTCAAACGTGACAAATTCTTTAAATCCTTTATTTCTATAAAGATATTCAGTTATTCAGTTACTTAATTAATTTTTTAAAACCAAACTTCTAATATTCAGCCAAAAAATATGCTGAATAACATAAAATAAAATATTTAGTCATATTACTGAATATTTTTTAAATATAAATTCTCTATATAATCTTTGGAATCTTTTTTTTTTGTCATTTTGTTTTTGATTTTTGTCATTTTGTTTTTCTTTAGTTTCGCGTGCTTCATCGAGGAGTTTTCGTCGAGAAACGAATGTCAAAATTCGCCACCGCCACCGCGCGAGTCATCAAAGGGGTTGGTTTGTTGGGATTTTTGAGAAAATTGTGTCAGAAACGCTGATTTCGTCTATTTAAGACGTTCAAAAGCATTTTAAAAGCCTAAAAATAATTAGCAAAGCTTTAGCTGCTAAAATCTAGCGTTTTGCACTATTTAGTACGTTGATTTAAGTCTGTTTTTGAAGGTGTGACAGGCAAACGTCATTTTAAGCTCGAGAATTCACCACTTTAAAAAAAAACATTGATTCAATAAGGCTTCTAGCTTCATTTACAGCTTAAAAATACAAGTAAGAGACAATTTAGGCTAGAACTTGTTGAAAGAAATCGTTTTTCCCTGTTCTAATCGACAAATTTAGCCGTTTATGGGGAATTTTGATGTACTTCTACTTCAAATTGTTTAGAATCTAAAGATTAGCTTGTTAGTAAAAAACAACGATAGGATTGTATTAATTTTTTTATTTTCAGGTAGCTCGTGTGCGCCCGACGAGAGCGGCGCTGACGTTGACGCCCGAAGCGATTTGCCGAGTCAAGGAGTTGTTGCAAAAAGAGCCGGGAGCGCTAGCTTTGAAGGTAAATTTTAGTTTTTAAATTTAAACGAATAGCATTAAGCTTTACCGATGCAAAGTTGTGTTGATACGCCTTTTTTGATTCGCTGACAAATTGGGCAAGCTTTGTGCTTCAAATTTTAACTTTACCAAAGCTATGCACGCCCAACTTTTGGCGACAAATTTTATAGAAAGCTTACTTTGCTTGTATAGGCATTTAAACATTTAATTTTAATATTTCTTAAAAATTATAGTACGAATCAACACTTTGATAACAAAATGAACTAAAACTATTGTGAAATTACTCTTTTCAACGCTGCTTAGAATTAAATTTAGCTGAGATTTTAGCAAATTAACTGATTGCCAAAGTTTTATTTGTTTATTTCAATCTTATAACTCATTTTACCATTCCCAGGTCGGTGTTCGGCAACGCGGATGCAATGGGCTCACATATACGCTCGACTACGCGAAAGAGCGGGGACGATTCGATGAAGAAGTCGAACAGGTAAACATTTAATGGTTTTTTTATTGTTTGCAGTATAAATATCGGAAGTAACATTGCTTAATGTTATCGAATCTGTAATTTCTTTTATTTTAGGATGGAGCGAAGATTTGGATTGATACGAAAGCGCAACTTTCTCTCCTTGGCACTGAAATGGTTTGTTTTTCGTCATGCTAATAGATTTTTAAAAGTAAAATCGAATTTGCAGGATTTAATTTTAGGGCTATTCCAGGTCAAAATTAAGGACAGCTCAACAGTAATACTGAAAGACTTTAAATAGTCTTTGGCTTGACTAGCCATGGCTTTTGCCTTTCAAGACCAACCCATTTCGAGCTGATGAGTTATGGGAACTTGCTGTACGGCGAGCTTGCTGTGTAAATTTTTGCTGTACGGCTCTTCACAGAAAAATGTCCACACGAACAATTACTAAAAAGTTGTCGAAAGGAATTGTGACAATGCTAATTTTACTCATTTTCAGGACTTTATCACGGACAAGTTGACAAGCGAATTCGTCTTTCGCAATCCGAACATCAAGGGCACGTGCGGGTGTGGGGAATCGTTTAGTTTATAGAAGAAATTCGGATTAATTGACGATTTTACGTTAGTTTCCCCCTTAGCTTAGATAAATATGCACGATTGTCCTCAAATTTTGCCTTCGTTTCATCGCTTTCTTTTGTCCTGTGCTAGGTTAGAGTTTTGGCGCCAATTTTCTCTTTTCTAGGTCAAAGTTAGATGGCTTGTACGATTGTGTTTTAGATTTTTTAGATGCACCCATGTGCGGATTTGTATTTTAGAGTTTTCTCGCGTTTCTTTTCGCTTTTGAATGGTTTGTACATAATAAAGTTGAAATTATTTGTGTGATTACTGGTATTTCGAGTCATTTTTCTTATAGAATTTCATAGAATCGTGTTTTTTAAAGTTTTATTAATAAAAGTTAAAGATTTGTGCACATTTTTGATTGAATTCAATGTTTGAACATAAAATTCTACCAAAAAAGCATTTTTTTGAAAAATTCATGGTTTTTGGGTGTTATTCTTGATTGGACTGGCTTGAATTAAGCCAAATTTTATTTTTGAAGAGATTTTTACCGTGTTCTTGTCGTTTTACTGAACGAAATCAATGCTTTTAACGTTTTTCTCGATTTCAGATGGCTCCCGCCGACGCGAACAGCAAAATGGTGAAGAAGGCGAGCAAGATGAAGGACCCCATTGAGACATTCAAATGTCTACCCGAGATGGAAGAAAGGAAAACTGGTAACGGGTCAGTTTTATGCTTTGAAAACAGGCAATGAGCAAGGATTAAGCCGAGAAACGCGATGGAGTGGTGATGGATATCTTTTTCTAGGCTTAACTTTTTAAAATCAGCTAAAACTTGTACTAGCGGACGCCAAATTGCTTCGATTTAGCTTCAGATTAAGCTATCACTAAATTCTTGATCAATTTTCCTGTTTTTCAGTGAAACGATCACTTTCCGGACAGCGTGGTCAACGCATTTGGACAACGAGATGCACGAGTGGCTGATGGATCTCTTCAATCGCAATATGCAACAATTGTGAGTGATGATATTGAATGATACTTAGCAATTCGTACTTCTTAGGTACTCTCAATCGCAATGGGGCTACGATCCGGTCAGCAAGAAGAATGAGCTGCAAGCGACCACGGCTAGGTGCGGGTTTTGAAGGCGCTAGACCTAAAAAGGCCACTTTTTCTCGCTTCTACAAGAAAATTGGCCTTTGAGACTTTTTGATAAAACAAGATTGTAAAAGTGGCGGGGAAAAGGTGCCAACAGTTTAATTGAAAGCGTTTGGATGGGTAAATTTAGTTGATTGGTTCGATTTGGCTTGAATCAACGGCAAATTTTAATGGAATCGGTGCAAAAGTTAAGCCAAGCCAAGCGCCTAGATTTAATAATGGCTTTAATTTTATCGCAATTCGTGCTTTCTTTAGATTTATCATCGCGTACAACTCGAAGGGTGACAAAGTCGGCTACACGCACTACCGTTTCGACGTCGATTTTGCTCGGCCCGTCGTTTATTGGTTGGTGCACTGAGGTTATAACCAGATTTGGCTCTTGTGACTTAGAGGGGACTTTTGACCATTTTAGACTTATTTCTCAGTTTTTAACGTTTTGCTCATGTGCTTGCTGGTATTTTTAACGCAATTTATTGACAATGATAGGTAGCAACGGAGAGTGCTCATGGGCTTTTAAGTTAAACACAGCTATTCAGACAAATGATCTATTAGGTTGAGGAGAAAGTCTTTGCCGATTTTTGGGAGAAGGTCTTAAACTTGTCCGATCTGGACGTGTAATAGCTTATTCGAAAGCTAATTTTCTGGCGAATTGGATAAAAAAGCGTTTTTTTAATATATCAATTTTCAAAGTTTTTGCAACCGTTTTACTGAGGGGCGAGTCCATATTTCAAAAAAATGAATTGGCTCAAGAATGCTCAAGAATTCGAAGCTGTTTCGCAATAGAGATTTGTGATTCTTCAAAGACACGTTGATTACGTATAGAAGCTTTAGATGGAGAACACTTCACGTTTTTTCAAATAACGCCCGTCGCCTTTGGATGCGCATCCTTTGACAAAGCCGTTCGTTGAATACCATCACTGTAGTTTTTCTCATTGAAAATCAAAGAATAACGAGCTGAAAACTGAATTACGCCATCTCTTTCTTGTTCTGATTCTTGCAGTGCTCCAAAAATAGTATCTAGTTTATTTAAGGTTACTCTATTGAGATAGTCGTTTACGATGTCGAAAGCTGGCTGAGGTTGAATCCCTGATGGTAGAACGGTGAATTTTGACATTGAACCAGAAAGATGTTCACGTTAAGAACCCCAGCAAGCGCATAAGCAAAACGTTAAAAACCGAGAAATAAGTTTTAAAATGGTCAAAAGTCCCCTTTAATTTACAAGAGCCGCAGATTATAATCTAAAACTATTTTCTTTCTTTAGTTACGAGATCCAAGTGGAGCCAACGTATCAAATGAAGGGCGTCGGATCGCTTCTGCTGCACACGCTCGAGAATTTAGCCAAGAAGTGAGCTTTTTGCAGTGTATGGGTTCAAGAAAAGATCAAACCAAAGACAAAGCAAGTGCCAGTGTTAAAATAGGAAATAGCCTAAGCTATCGATTAAGGATGTGTTTGAAGCAGATAATTGAATCGAATTCAGGGGTTCTGAACTGATTGTTACTCTAAAAATTTTTCTTTCCTTTAGAACGAGTATGGAACATGTGGTCGCTACGGTGTTCGCCTTCAATGAGAAGAGCCTCGGCTTCTTCCACAAAAACGGATACACAACGGATGGTGGGCTTTTGGGGTGGAAAATGGTAAAATGACCTTAAGGTCTACAAAAGCCGGATTTATACCTGATTTCTTTCGTCCAGGTTTTCCTAGCAGGCCTGGCTAGATCAGACCGAGCTTTGCTTTGAAATAACCTTCATTTTAAAACCAGGCTTACAACCATGTTCAAATGATTTCTGACACTTTTAGCTAAAGACCACAGTAGGCACTTCCCTTAATTACTGGTATTGTTGCGTTTCGAACGCTCCTTTCTCAGCAAAAACGTGATTTTCTGATCTAGTATTTTTTTTTGCACCAAGAAATTTTGCAAAAAGACTATGCGACAATACGAGGGCGTTCTACTACAGTCATTATGGTATTACGGTTTGTTTGGCTGATTTAACCTGACCAGGAACTTTGACCAAGAAACCATTCTGTTTAAGATCCAAATTTCTAATTCCTAATCATTTTTCCCATTTAGATTCGTGTCCCGACGAGAATCAAGGCCTCGACTATCTCATTTTGAGCAAGAGAATCGTTTAAATCGAACTTGATCCGGAAATTTCGCCCATTTTTGATCGTTTCTGTTTTCATTTTTGGACATTTTGCTGATCTCATTTAATTTTTCTTTTTTAAATTTTCAGTTTTACGGTCCCCTTATCCACCTGTTTTGCTCTATCATTTACCGGTCGTTTCTGATATTTTTAGATTTAAAAGTTGTTTATGTCTAATAAACTTTATTATAAAACACTTTTTTAACAACGCGCTTACGGTAGAAGCCGATGAAATGGGCACGACTTAGGAATCGGCTTTGATTTGGCTTGCTCATCGAGCAAATTTAGTGCCAAATAGAAAAACATTGACGAGTTGATTTTCGACATTTTCTACTGTAATCGATGCGCCAAATATCGGAAAAACACAGGCAATTTTAGAATTTTACCCCAAAATTCTCCCGAGTTTCGTTATTTTTCGTTGAGTTTTGTGTGCGAAAATCATAAAAAGAAGCCGATCGGTGCTCTTTTTACCTTCCTTCCTTTTTTTTTTTCTCAACCAATACGCACTCATTCGATTATATGGACCATCTGAGACACCCAAGGCTGAACAGACGAAAGAAATTTGAGAAGAGGCATAATATAAAGGAAACCGCAGATTTTCTCAAAAGTGTAATATCCGATATTTAGCTGGCTATTTGGCTTTCCTGACATCCAGGATTGAAAAAAATTGAAACAAATTTAGCTCTAAGTGTACTGGGTTTTGAGATAAAACACCAAAATCCGACAACTCGATTTTGACTTTTTGAGAAATTCCGAAAATTGATCAGATTTTTTTTAAAATCGCAAGCCTGCGTTCCAGGACCGATGAAAATGCGGAAAAAAATTAGAAAAAAAGATTTCGTCATCAAGATTTTGGCTTGATAAGATTCCATTGCTTTTTCCAAATGAATTCACTTTTGTAAACCCAAATTTGATTTTATTTGGTTGTCGGAAAGGGTTCCGACAAAAAAAGAAACACATTTTTGACCTTTTATGGCTTTGACGGGCCGCGCATGCAACCCACCTGCACCCATACCACTTCCACAGAACCACTCGCCGTTTTATCTGCTCACAGTGCACCAATCGCAAATCCGATTTCAAGTTCGGCTCATCTGGATGTCACGCCGGCCGATGGGGAAAGTTTATTGGGAGTTTTATGGCTAAATGCAGATGTCAGAGTTGCAGGGTCACCTCCAGAGTTTTTGGCAAAACGCTTTTGTCAAAAAAACTCTTTGCCTCACCGATTCATTATCGCCCGAATGTCTCGTGTGCTCCAGGATTGCCGAAACAAGAGCAATTTCCACATAGAACACTTGTCTATCGTTGCCTTTGCGCGCAATCTTGCATCTGCTCCCGCCTCTCGCCTTTCCACTCCTCCAGGGTACGCTTTTGGGCCGCGAGAGTGATTTTGCACATCGTTTATCGCCTTTCGTTTACCCCGTCCACCTGTTCGCAGTTTTCACGCAGTTTTCTGCATTAATTGTCTCTAAAGTTGACCTTGTTCCTTCACTGATCAGTGTTCCCTTTGTTAAAACGCTCAATTTTCCATTTTTTTAAAAATATTTTGCGATTTTTATAAATTCTGGATGTCATTCTTTAAAAATTCACAAAAAGTTTTGCTGATTTTTGAAAAAAAAAAAAAGACAAAAAATAGGTGTATATAGCTGGCTACCGTATACCTCCCAGAATGCATCAATCTAGAATCAGTTTTTAAAATTGGTTCATCTGGATGTCACAGCGGTGAGGTGGAAAGTAGTTGAACGTTTTCTAGCTGAATTCTAGATGTCAGTCTTGAGCCAACCATTGCAGGGTTTGGTCAACCCCTCCTCCTCGTCAAGCCCTCCCCCAATCCCCCCAATCCATTCTGTGTGTTCCAATTTGCCGCACGAGGCCATCCCATTGCCGTTTTTTCCATATTTATTTGCATATAATGGGTTGTTCCTCAATGACTACCGTAATTCGTAATTTATGTGCACACTGTCGGCTTTTCTTTGATCTGCTCCGAAAATCGGAGGCAAGTGAATTTATGAGAAAGAAATTGAAGATTGGGAAAGCCGCGGGGAGACTTAACCTTTTGTTTGAATATCTTTTAAGGTTTAAACTTTAAGATTCCGAACAAGTCGCTCTTGCACCCGCCTGAGGTCATGATTTCTGTTTTTGAGCTTTGATTTGTCAATCCTGGATGTCACAAGGCTTGTTCGACTTTTTATTTTTTGATTTATCGCTTTTTAGCACTTTCTGATTTTCAGGGCACTGTAGCTGGGTAATTGAACCAAAACTGGGCTGAGGAAAAGATTTTTTGAGCTTTGATTTGTCAATCCTGGATGTCACAAGGATTATTTCACGTTTTATTTTTTTGATTTATCGCCTTTTAGCACTTTCTCATTTTCAAGATTCTGTAGCTGGGTAAATGAACCAAAATTGGGTTAAGAAAAATTTTTTTGAATCTCGAATCTAGCAAGTCAAATGGCTTTCCTGACATCCAGGATCGACGAAAATCGAAAAAATTCAGCTCTCAGTGTCCTGAGGCTTGACATAAAGCATCAAACTCCGACAACTCGATTTTGACTTTTTGGGAAATTCCGAAAATCGATCAGATTTTTTTTAAAATCACAAGCCTGCGTTCCAGGACCGATGAAAATGCGGAAAAAATTCAGAAAAAAGGATTTCGTCATCAAGATTTTGGCTTGATGAGATTCTTGACAATCAGAAGCTGGGCTGACTTGGCCTACAGGGCCTGGACGCAGCTAAAATGCATTACTTTCCTGTAAGCTCTCTTTCCTGTCCTGAGATCGAGGACGGCCTCGATCTCAGTCACTCGAGTCGCGTTTTGATGCGATGCTCACCGCTTTTGACCACTCGCCGACACCTGTCACCCCCGCATCTCAAGTATTTATTACTGCCCCGTATTTTTGCTCTAATCAAAAATCCTCTCAAAGAAATCCGATTCCTGGATGTGATCGGAGTGAGCGAAAATCGAATTAGCGAGAAATTCGATTAATTCGATTCGATTTCGACTAACCTCGACCGCGCAAATCATCCAGCCCATTTCCAAGCTAATTCCGGCGACTCTAATGCTTTTTAACGATTGCATGTCGCCAGCTGGAAGGCACGGCAGAGATTCTAGAAGTCGGAATCGATCGTATTCACAAATTGCCGGCTACAATCCGACAATTCGAGTTCGACTCCGTTTCACTACTTTAAACACCTCGGATTTAAATTTTTCTACTTTTTTTGTCAATTCTGGATGTCACAAGATTAGATAAAAAATCCAGTTTTGCAATTTTTCTCTGAAAAAAATTTCTTTCTAGCAATTCGAGTTCGACTCCGTTTCACTACTCTGAACACCTCAAATCTGGATTTTTCCATTTTTATTGTAAATCCTGGATGTCACAAGATTAAATAAAATAAACGATTTTTGAAATTTTTGAATTTTCAAAATTGTGTTTTTCAACGACACGACTCTGACTCATTTTCACCATTTTCGGAAACTCTTCGGGTCCGATTTGAATCACGATCACCAAGCTGGATGGCATCAAGCAAATTAATGAGGCTTGGGAAGGGATTTGGTGCGATTGCGCAACCTCGCCTCCACCAGGGTATGCAAAAATGCGAATGCTCTAATTTCTCCTTGCCCATTCGCACGAATTCGATTTTCTTTTGTTTTTTGACAATCCTGGAGCGCAGGCGAGAGATCGGTGATTGCAAGGATTGCTTATCGAAAAGGATCGTCCTTGCACAGCAACTCCATCCCAGCATCTCCACCTCGCCTCCTCCGCTCCTTCAATTTCACGCCTCACTGCTTTCCACCAAATCTCCGCGATTTCTTAGCCACCTGTGACATCCAGGAATGCCGAATCTTGCATATTTTTCTGAATTTTCACAGTTTTAGCCAAATCCAGGGTGTGGACACTGATTTTGGGCATAGCTGGGGGTTTTTCTCAGCTTCCCTTAACTCAATTGATATCAAAACGAAATTTTCGGCGAAACTGGATATCATTTCGATTTTTGCATAACTTTTAGATACAAATTTGCTATTTTGAAATTTTGGAATTTTGATGATTAAGGACTGACCAATTTTCTCGGCTATTAGCCAAGAATTTAAGAAGTTTTGCAAAGTTTTTTGCTGAATTGGATAGCAATTTAGATTCTCTAAAGTTTTGGGGGTTTTTTGGATGCAAAATGGTGGCCTGGCCCCACCCTGTAAGTCAACCTCGGACACCCTCAGCACTCAGCCCCCCCCCTCTCCCGTCAGTGATCTGCAAAAAGCAAATCCCTTTCGGTTAACGCTGGGTGTCACCAGGGTCACCCAGTGAATCACAATTGACAGATCTCTCTCTCGAGAAAAGCTGATGGGGTGTAGGCGGAGGCTCGGGCCCGCATTTCCCATCAACCAACAATCGTTGGCGACATTTTGACTTTATAGCTGTTGATGCTGGAAGTCATGTCATTGATTGGGGCACAGATTGGTGTTGTCAGTCTCGTTTCTCTTTCAGTCACCCCTCCTCCTCGATTACTGTCAATCTTACTTACACGGCTCAACTTTCTCTTTCCCTTTCCTTCACTTCCCTTCACTTCCCTTCTCTTCCCTCTCCTTCCCTTCCCTCTCCTTCCCTTCCCTTCCTTTCCTTTCTCTTGATTCCCTGTCCCTTTCGATTTTCTTTCGGTTCATTGAAAGAGAGAAATTTTCTTTTTTTTGAGTAACAAAGTCAAAATTTTTTTTTATTCCTTTTATAAATCTTTTCTTTACAAAACCTTATGTGACATCCAGATCTTAGAAAAATTTTAATTTTAAAGCATTTTCTTACATTAGAGTCAGTAAATTGCTTGGTTTAAGAAATGCGTAATTAAACGAAATTGAAATCGCAAAATTTTCCTAATCTTTAATCATAGAAATGTTTTATGCCTTCCAGATTGTCAAATTTTGTTTTTATTTTGAGCGTTTGTCATTTGAGTTATTCATTTTTTCGGCTCAAACTCGAATCGCATACTGTCACGACTTTCCCAGCCTCATTCCATCTTTTTCATCTTCGAATTTCAATTAAAATTTCGATTTCTCTATGTTTGGAGATGAGTAAAGGGGAAGGTTTTGATGAGAGTAGAAAAAGAGGAAAGGAAAGGGATCGGTGGGATTGGGGGCGAGGTCGGGGTTCACCCTAGAACACTCGAATAAAGATTGCCGCTCTTGCGCCCGCCCGGGGTGATCATTTCTATTTTTGAGCTTTGATTTGTCAATCCTGGATGTCACAAGGCTTGTTCGACTTTTTATTTTTTGATTTATCGCTTTTTAACACTTTCTGATTTTCAGGGCACTGTAGCTGGGTAAATGAACCAAAACTGGGTTGAGGAAAAGAGAAATTCGCTTTTGATTTGTCAATCCTGGATGTCACAAGGATTATTCCACGTTTTATTTTTTTGATTTATCACTTTCTAACACTTTCTCATTTCCAAGGTACTGTAGCTGGGTAATTAAACCGAAATTTGCTTTAGAAAAAGAAAAATTAGCTTTTGATTTGTCAATCCTGGATGTCACAAGGATTATTCCACGTTTTATTTTTTTGATTTATCACTTTCTAACACTTTCTCATTTCCAAGGTACTGTAGCTGGGTAAATGAACCAAAACTGGGTTGAGGGGTTCGCTTTTGATTTGTCAATCCTGGATGTCACAAGGATTATTCCACGTTTTATTTTTTTGATTCCTCGCCTTTTACCACTTTCTCATTTTCAAGATTCTGTAGCTGGGTAATTAAACCGAAATTTGCTTTAGAAAAAGAAAAATTAGCTTTTGATTTGTCAATCCTGGATGTCACAAGGATTATTCCACGTTTTTTTTTTGATTTATCACTTTTTAACACTTTCTCATTTCCAAGGTACTGTAGCTGGGTAATTAAACCGAAATTTGCTTTAGAAAAAGAAAAATTAGCTTTTGATTTATCAATCCTGGGAGTCACAAAGCCATTTGGAGTACTTTAATTTTTCAAAAATTCATTTTTGAAAAATTTGAAAAATTAGCATTTATCGAGTACCGTAATCCCGTCATCTCGGAATTTGCAAGAACATTAAAAAGCGGAAACGCTACAAAGGGACTTTTTGAATGTTGGCTGTTGGGTGACTATTTTTTTTTTCAGCCTTGATTGACATTTCCTATTTTTTTCCCTGTGAATCACAACCGCAAGCCGCAAAATTTTAAGCGGCACTAAAATTTTGATTTTCTAGAAAAAACCCTGGCATATTTTCATTGTTTTGGCATTTCTGGAAGGCACTAGGAAGTTTTAGAAAGAGTTCTCGGAGCTCTGAACAATTTTCGCCACTTCTCACCTTCTCACCAATTCTCATCACTTTTCCTATTTTTATGTTGAGATGATCGGCCGTAAATGATCGTATTCCTCTTTCTGGATGTCATAGAACCAAAAAATGGGCTATTCGGGCTATTCGAGCAAAATATTTGAATTCTTGCTTTGGTTCAATTACCCAATTTCTTATTTGACCCCCCGGAACGTCCTGTTTGCAAAAGGGATTCCTCAATTCCCTAAGATTTGGCGATCTGATGCCAAAAGCTTTTGGCATCAGAAAATCTAGGAAATTGAGAACTTGAGATTTTTCCTTTGGTTTAGTTACCCAACTTTTTAGTCACCAACATACAAAAGCCAAATTTCAATTTCCTTTTCTTTCCCAAATCTCTCCTGCCTTCCAGAAGGCCCATTTCTATATTCAGAAATAAATTCAGACCCTTGAGGGTACTGTATCTGAACCAGCTACCGTAACCCTCAAAATCCAATCAATAATCTAAACAACAAAATACAATTTTTCAAAAAGTAATCACTGTAGTGCCCTCCAGAAGGCCCATTTCTAACTTCAGAAAAGAATTCAGACCCTTCAGGGTACTGTATCTAAACCAGCTACCGTAGCCCTCAAAATTCAATCAACAATCTAAACAATAAAATACAATTTTTCAAAAAGTAATCACTACTAGTGCCCTCCAGGATTGTCGATTGTGAATTAGCAAAAGATTTGGACAACGTTTTCAAAGGGAAATGTGCTTAGACCCGGATTCCTTGAGAGTATCACAGTAAATTTGTGTCACTCATCTCGGCGTCATGGTTCGGAAATTTCCCAGCAAAAAATCAGCCGATTCCTTTTTTCGCGGCTTAGCGGCAAATGAATGAAGGTTGTTTTTTTCGGGAAAGTAATTGGCGGCTGAGGGGACGCGTGGCCGATGGGGACTGCTTCAGCCTCACCCCTTCCAACCCTTTGCCCAAGTCTACAGTCAATCATCTTTTTTTTTGCTGGGCTATTTAACCCCGGTGCCCTCCAGAATGAAAAGACGAATCGCTTGAATCGCCTCCAAGAGTCTCATTGCTGAGATAAGGCTATGCGAGCGTTTCTCACAAAACAGGCACTTTTCCAAATTTTTCAAATTTCCTTTTCATTGCTCTGAAAATCGTAGTTATCTTTTGTGCGTTCCAGATGACCCAAAAAATTTCGAATTTTCAGATTTCACGCAATATTCTTGGAGTAAAGAGCTTCAACAGCAACGTCGTTTTCAAATTTTTTTTCTAATCAAAATAATTTCGCAAAATCTCAATTTTTCTCTTTCCTGCCTTCCAGATTGACGAAAAATCTTAATCTAATGATTTTTATGTTTTTTGTTTTCTTTTTTTCTTGTCAAAACCTTCTCAACACTTTCAACTTCGACTCATTTCAGAAAAATGGAATTCTCAAATCTCCCGCATGACATTCTGCTCGAGGTCTTCAAAATGTGCCCGCAATCGGATCGAGTCAAGGGACGGAGGCTGAGCAAACGACTCAATCAAGTACTCACATCGAGAGGAGCGCCGAAACTCGTCGCCGATGTGTTCAAGTGGGTCAAATGGGTATTCAAGGTTTTTTGGTGACCAAGTGAGCGTAGTAGAGTTTTTTTTGACGTTTTCGGGCGTCCTGGAGCGCAGCACACTTGTTTTTCTCGTTTTCGGCGAATTTGGGGTGAATTTTGAGAAGGTGGTTTTTGATGGGGTGGCCAACCGATAGCAAATCTCTGGATCTAGTGACCCGGGTTTGTTGAAATGTAAATTTTTCCGCAATCTGGATGGCACAAGAGATTTTTTCTCGTTTTCAGCGAATTTGAAGCGGATTTTGAGAAGGTGGTTTTTGGTGGGGTGGCCAACCGATAGCAAATCTCTAGATCTAGTGACCCGGGTTTATTGAAATGCAAATTTTTCCGCAATCTGGACAGCACGAGAGATTTTTTCTCGTTTTCGACGAATTTGGGGCAAATTTCGGGAAGGTGGTTTTTGGAGTCTCAAGATTTTCAAAGCAGCTTTATGACTAGAATAGCTTAGTTGATTTTTGAATGCGAAAGGCGAAAAAGTAACGACTACACGACTGTACGCTCAAAATACAGCTCAAAATCGGGGAATTTAGTTCAAACGGTTTTTTTTAAAAAGGGTTTTTCTTTCATTGTGTCCGACCAAATTCAACCCAAAATTTGGACCGAATTAAAGCTACAATTCTAGAGTCTCCGCGGTTGAAATCGAGGATCGGTGCGTTCCAATTGGTCGTTTGAACTTTCACAAATCGTCGAAAACCCGTCGTATCGTGAGCATTTCGCTTAAACGCCATCAGCGCAACGAGCGCGTTTTCGAGGCGACACCAACCACATCGAACGCGTCAAAAATGCCAAAAATCCCCGAAATCGTGCAGCAACAACTCGAGCAAGTAATCAAAATCCGCATTTTATCCATTTACACAAATTTTTGTAGGTAAAAATCGGCTCCGCGTTGAGTTTCGACGGTGCTGCCGTGCATTGCAACACGCAACTCCTTCACTCTTTGCTCAATAACGATCTGAGGTAAAAATTTCAAATTCTACACAGCTTTTTGCCTAATCTGGAGCGCACGGCACTTGTTTTCGACTAAATTTTCCACGATTTTCCACGATTTCTGTGTTTTGCTCTCGGTTGGTTGTTTGGCTCACTGTCAGAGTCGAGATAAGTCAAAATTTTGACATTTAGCGGCTGATTAGGAATTTTTTTGACGTTTTCGGGCGTCCTGGAGCGCTAGCACACTTGTTTTTCTCGTTTTCAGCGAATTTGAAGCGGATTTTGAGAAGATGGTTTTTGGTGGGGTGGGAGCCTATAGCAAATCTCTGGATCTAGTGACCCGGGTTTGTTGAAATGCAAATTTTTCCGCAATCTGGATGGCACGAGAGATTTTTTTCTCGTTTTCGGCGAACTTGGGGCGAGTTTTGTGAAGGTGGTTTTTGGTGGGGTGGCCAACCTATGCCAATCTCCGGATCTAGTGACCCTGGTTTGTTGAAATGTATATTTTTCCGTAATCTGGACAGCACGAGAGATTTTTTTCTTGCTTTGAGCGAATTTGAAGCGGATTTTGAGAAGGTGGTTTTTGGTGGGGTGGCCAACCTATAACAAATCTCTGGATCTAGTGACCCGGGTTTATTGAAATGTAAATTTTTCCGCAATCTGGATGGCACTAGCGATTTCGGAGTGATGAAAGAGAAGGGTTTCCCCAAAAACTCGAGTAAGCTATGAAAGGGGGCTAGGGCTCTTGGCACTTTTGGCAGATTTCTGTCGAAATGTCGAAGATTTAGTTGAGCGGATTGGGGATCCTGGAGTGCACAGAGGCGCTGAGAAGAAGAAAATGCGGAGATTTGGGAGTTTAGAGAATTTAGTGGGTGACGGGTCCTTGTCTTTGGAAAGGGGAGACATTTTTGACTGCTCATTGACAACTAAACTGTCTTAAAGTGAACCGTTTTGCACACTAAAAGACAGTAAAAGCGACTAAAAGACGCAAATAGGCTACTGTACAGCAAATTAGCATTTAATTAGCAAAACTTTACAACAAATTAGCATTTAAAAAGGGAAAATGTGGTCGTTTTTACTGAAAATAGGTTCTAGTCCATAAAAGTTATGATTATCATGTAAGAATGAGATTTTTTTTGATGCGAATCTTCAATCTGGAAGTCACAAGACAAGAAAAAAGCGGAAAATAAGGAAAAATTTAAGTTTTCGAATTTTTCGCAAAATTGGGTAATTAATCCGAAAATTTGCATATAAAAGGTAGAATTTAAATGCAAATCACTTAAAATATGTTAATTATGCCCGTTTTTCAGATCCGTTTCCTCGCTTTCTTTCACGATGTGCCACATTGAGTGGACGGATGCCGAGTTCTCGCAACTCGTCGCTCACACTTCCCCCGTCGATCTCGTTTTCGACTTCTGCCACTTTCACGCCGATTTCCTCACGGATAAGGTGAGAAATTTTGAGAAATTTCGCCGTTCTGGAGGCCACAGCAGAAGATAAAAATCGAAAAATGTGAATTCAAACAATTTTTAGTAAAACCGGAACCTACCGGTACCGGAATTTGTATATTATCGGAATTTACAAATATGTTAAAATATTCTAATTTTTCAATAGCGTGCAACCCAGGACTAAAGATTTTCGCGTTTTTAGAAAGAGATTACTGTAGATTTTTAAGTCTAAAGCCCCAGTCCTGAAACTTTTGAAGAATTCGAAGTTTTTCATGAAAAATAGCCGTGTTTTGAGCTTTTTAGCTCACTCACGTAATCAAGTGTCATTTTTGAGCTGAAAAATGACAGAATTCTTATCGCTTTTGGCAGTGGTGGGCGAGTCGGCCAAGTCAGCCAGCCGATTTTGACAGTTTCCACTTATTCTTGAGCACTTCGAAAACAAGTGTCACTTTCGTGGGGCGATAAAATGATGAAAGTCCGTTGTGCATTCCAGGATCGCGTTTCCTGAGCGAAAAAATAGGGAACAGTGAAAATAGGGCGTTTTTGGAGGGGTACTGCAAACAGGGGTACGGTAGCTAATTTGTCTTTTCGTCAAATTCAATGAAATACGGTAAACTAAAGTCGTCAAATTGTGCTGTGCCCTCCAGCTTAACGATTTGAAAAGTTAAAACGACGAATGGACGAAATGTTGGCTAGAAATCGATGTGGTCTCGAAATGATCAAATCCGAAATTTTTCAAATCAACTTAGGACTGAAAATTTCGACGCCAAACTTTCTCGTGCGTTCCAGATCAAGCAAAAATCACAATTTCCAGGTCTTTACGCAAATGCCCCGGCTACAATCGTTGAGTGTACAGGCGCGGAGCTGGGCCCGTTTCCCGGCACTGACCGACGAGACACTACAGGGCTGGGCGACGAATTGCCCGAAATCAATCCGTTTGTCGAATCAAGTCATTTCTGGTTTCACCCTGGAGGGCATTCGGCAATTTGTGCAGGTTCGGAAAATCGGAAAATCGAAAAATGTCAAAAAAATATGCCTGATTTTTATCACTCCACTTTTGCATTTTTAAAATTTTCAAAATCCTTCGAAATCAATTTCAATCGCTGATCTGGAAAGCACATGAACTTTCGAGAATTTCAGAACGCGCCAGAGTCGAACTTTGAGCTCGACCTAGGTCTCATCGTGGACACCGCGGCGGAGAGTCTGGGTAAAATCCTGATGATCCCAAAGTTTTCGGTGGGTTTTTGAAATGCGATTCGGTGGTTCTGGAGGCCACTCTTGAAGCTCGATATATAAATTTTAGAAAAATTTTCATTTATTTTTTTTTTTCAGGTGACCATCTCGGACGAGTACTTGTCGAGGAGAGTCGTTTTGACAAAAATGGCGAACGGGTCGAGTCTCCCAAATTTCGTCCACAACTTCTCCAGTGGCTTCCAGGATCGCCAGAAATTCGCTCAGAAGATCTCCTTCTCAGTTTATACGCCACAAATCAGCTCAGCTCAATGATTTCAAATATTTCTTTTTCCTCTTGCCTCAATGAAAAAAAATACGGGTTTAATTTTGACGAATATTTTTTTTATTTTTTTGAATTTTATTTTTTTTGTTGTTATAAAGAATTTTGATGGAAAAATTGTCTGAAAATTGACGAAAAATTGTCTGAAAAAGCTCTAGGGTTACGGTAGCGTTTTCTAAAACGTGACCTTTTGCTAAAAAACCTGCTAAAAAATAAATATCACTTTCGTGGGGCGATAAAATGATGAAAATTCGTTGTGCATTCCAGGATCGCGTTTCCCGAGCGAAAAATAATCAACAGTGAAAATAGGGCGTTTTTTCGAGGGATACTGTAAACAAGGTACGGTAGCTAATTTGTCTTTTCGTTAAATTCAATGAAATTTGGCAAACTAAAGTCGTCAAATTGTGCTGTGCCCTCCAGCTTAACGATTTGAAAAGTTAAAACGACGAACGGACGAAATGTTGGCTAGAAATCGATGTGGTCCCGAAATGACCAAATCCGAAATTTTTCAAATCAACGTAGGACTGAAAATTTCGACGCCAAACGGTCATGTGCCTTCCAGATCGGGTAAAAATTTCAATTTCTAGGTGTTCAGGCGAACGCCGGGCGGCAATCGTTGCCTGTAAAGGCGCGGAGGTGTTGGGCCTGTTTCTTTGCTAAAGCGGAAGCAGTCGTTCGACTCTAAGGCTCATCTAAGGCTCTTCGAATCTCATCTACAGTACCGTATACCTTTTAGAGTACCGTAAGGCTTATTTTCTAGCCATTTTCCTTATTTTATGCAAATTTTTATCAAAAACTCGTTTTTTAGTTGACTCTATTTATTTTAAAAACTGCAAAAATTTGGTAAAGAAACGAAAAATGAAGGAAAATCTCAAAAAAAGCACGACAAGAATCGAATAAACAAAAATAAACAAAAAAAAAGAAAATTTCTGAAATTTCGAAATTTTTTGAAACAAATTCACCGAATTGACTCAACTAAACGAGATCTATCGAAAAAAAATGAAATAGAATTTAAATTTTAAAAAATCAAACACAAAAACGCTCAATCTGGAACCCATAAGCGGTAATGAAAAAAAGAAAAATCGAAAAAAAGTCGAGAGAAAAAAATTTGAACTGGAAAAGTTGACGGTTTGAGTTCGACGGGGGGCTTTTTTGAAGGGATTTTGGGGTTCGTTTTGTGGAACTTTTGCATTCAATGCCTTTCCTGGAAGGCACAAGCGGTAAAACGAGCATAAAAATTGGGGGTAAACAAGTAAAAGAAAGAAAGAAAAAACTCAAAAAATTCAAAATCACGATCGAGATTTGTACCGCTGAAATAAAAAATGAAAAATGGGGAGTGGGACAAATGCTACCTTTTTTTTGCGCACCCGGACATTTGCGCACCTTTTTTTTCCGCACCTTGCCCATTAGCGCACCTTTTTTTCGCGTTTTAAAAAGCTCTCAAGCTCTAAAAGCTAAATATCAACCAATTTCTATTCCAAAAGTTGTTTTTCTAGGTAATTTTAGGGCGTAGAATCGAAATTTTGCCATATCAGAGCTTGTGGGTTTCTCGCGGGTTCTAACAGGAGTTCTTGGGGTTCTAAAGCAAAACCCCAAGCGGGTGTGCCTTAGCTCTAGGAACTGGCTGAGATCCAGAAAATTGGGGGTGAGCTCAAACCCAAATAGACTTACTGCTAGCCTTTGCACTAAGCCTAAGCCTGAGCCTGAGCCTAAGCCTGAGTCTAAGCCTGAACTTGAACCTGAACCTGAGCCTAAGCCTGAGCCTGAACTTGAGCCTAAGCCTGAGTCTAAGGCTTAAACCAAGGCTTAAAATACTTCTCGTGGGTTCTAAAGCAAAGCCCCCAAGCGGGTGTGCCTTAGCTCTAGAAACTGGCTGAACGGACGGAGTTATACAAAGAGAAGGATCGATAATTTTCTGTAATTTGATCTAGCCCGTTTTGTCTTTCAAATTTCAAATTCAAATGGTTCCACACGCTCTGATATGTCAAAATTTCGATTCTACGCCCTAAAATTACCTAGAAAAGAACTTTTGTCATAGAAATTGGTTAATATTTAGCTTTTAGAGCTTTTTTAAAACACGAAAAAAGGTGCGCTAATGGGCAAGGTGCGGAAAAAAAGGTGCGCAAATGTCCGGGTGCGCAAAAAAGGGTCGCATCTGTCCCACTCCCAAAAAATAAAAAATGAAAAATGAAAAAAACAAAAAATGTAATTTGGCAAAGTGCCAGAAAGAAAATAAGTGCAAAATAGAATTTCAAATTTTTCAAAAATTTGCATTTTTGACTTTTTATGGTCTAAAATCGTCCAAACTCGTCCAAAATCGATTTTTTTTATTTTGCATTATTTTTTCAAAAAAATAAATCTAACGGTAGCTGTGCGTTCCAGGATTTCCAAAAATTCACTTCAAATTCAAAAATTCGCAATTTTCAGAGGAAATTTTAATTCAAAATGGTAATGACGGGAAATGTCGATTTTCAAAAGTGATTCAAAATCTTTTCAAAATTGGATTAAAATGCGAAATGACATCCAGCTTGATGGTTAGTCAAAAAAAATTTTCAAAATTTTCTCATTTAAGCGCATAAAAGTCGCTGCGAACAAAATGGGAAATGGTTTTTTTCGCATTTCGTTAATTTTTGCTTTTTACGATTTCCATTGGATGTTGTGCATCCCAGAAACCCTAGAAAACGCATCGCTTTTGTTGGGAAATCGAAAAGAAATCGAGAAAATGAACACAAAAAAATGAAGAAATTTGCTCGCAAGAAACACGCTTATCACAAAGATTCTTTAATTGAAAAAAAAGAAGAAAAAATAACGTAAAAATGGCTAAATTGATTGGAAATTAAGGAAAGATTTACATTTAATTAAAATGATTTTTAAATGTAAATTCCATTTAAATGGAATTTACATTTAAAAATCATTTTTTTATTAAAAAACTACCCGTTTTGTTTCGGTGGAAATTCGATTTTTTTTTTAATTTTTCGGAACATCAAAAATGTTGAAAAACTAAAAACTACCAAGAAATTTGCATTTAATTCATCAATCCTGGAGTGCAACTTAGAATTTAATCAGAGAAATTTCGGGATACGGTGTCGAATTCTGAAGTTGGGGAGTTGCGTAATTGATCCGGCTGTTTCCTCGGGTTTTGCGCGAATCATGATAGGATTTTTCGGCGTTTATTCGACGATCTGGAGGTCACAACACGATTTTATCATGGTTTGAGGGCATTCTAGTTAAATTCTGAAGTTTGCGGGTGGGGGTTGCGTAATTGATCCGGCTGTTTCCTCGATTTTCCGCGAGTCAAGGTAGGATTTTTCGACGTTTATTCAGCCATCTGGAGGTCACAACACGATTTTATCGACATCCGCACGCTTCCACCCGCATTCCATCATATTTCTTGATTTGAATCGTGTTGTTGAAATCTCTGAAAGAGGAAATTTGCATAGGAAGCCAAAAAATGAGCATACTTGTATAGAATGTTGAGCGCTGAGGTCTCGGTGGCCACACAGCACGGTCCAGGGATCTCCGGATTAAGGCTAAAATTAGATTTTTCTTTTCTTTAGAAAGAGAGAATTACCTATTTCCAGTATATCAGTTAAAAACTCGTTCTAATGTCAAATTCTTATTATTAGCAACTAGTGTGCGTTCCAGATCGCTCAAATTCGAACTTTATTTCGCTGCTTTCATTCTTGGAAGCGTTTTTGAGGCTTGAACCCGTTTCGACTTGGGAAAATTGGAAAAAAAATGGAAATTTTGAAAGATTTTGAGGCTAAATGGTGTGCTGAGTTTTAGGATTTAGTTTTTGAGCAGTTTGATCTTGAGCAGAACGAGTTTTGACAAACCTGTTCAATAGTGACTGTACAATGGCGTGATTGGTGGCGTTGAGACGAGCGGGTAATGGATTTGGACATTCACCCACACACATAAATGCGTTGTAGCCCACTGAAAGGTAATGGCTTTATGGGCTATAGTCTTAATTCTTAAATTCCATGAGTTGCTAAACGGGGAAATTTGGATTTCTTTGAGTCAAAATCCGACAATTCGAGTTCGGCTCCGTTTCACTACTGTAAACAACTCAAATCTGGATTTTTCCATTTTTATTGTAAATCCTGGATGTCACAAGATTAAATAAAAAAATCCAGTTTTGCAATTTTCTTTAAAAAAAAATTTCTTTCCGACAATTCGAGTTCGACTCCGTTTCACTACTTTGAACGGCTCGAATCTAGATTTTTTGATTTTTATTGTAAATTCTGGATGTCACAAGATTAGATAAAAATCCAGTTTTACAATTTTCCTTTAAAAAAAATTTCTTTCTGACAATTCGAGTTCGACTCCGTTTCACTACTTTAAACACCTCCGATTTAAATTTTTCTACTTTTATTGCAAATCCTGGATGTCACAAGATTAAATAAAAAATCCAGTTTTGCAATTTTTGAATTTTGAAAATTGTGTTTTTCAACGACACGACTCTGACTCATTTTCACCATTTCCGAGAACTCTCCGGCTTTGATTTGAATCACAATGACCAAGCTGGATGTCACCAAGCAATTTAATGAGATTTGCAAAGGGATTTGGTGAGAATGAAGAATTTCGAAAAACCATTACGGAAAACTCACTTGGCGACAAGATCCAATCGTCCCAATTCAACTCCTTGAAATCGACGTACAAATCGACGCGCTGACACAAACGTCGATGCGGTTGTCGGGAGTGGTGACCGATCTTTTCTTTTCCCGGCCGCTTTCGCCCTTTCCCCTTGCCTTTGCCCTTTCGCTCTTGCTGTGCTTGGGGAGTGCTCGTCGATGGGTCATCTGAAACAGTTTTTTTGGGTGATCTGGAACGCACACTATGTATTGAACCATTTAAAAACCTAGTTTCTCTAAAATTTCTAAAGGCGTCAATTGTACTCCTTTGTAGCTGGGACTAGAACCAAGCTCTGGAGCCTTGTTTCAACTAAATGAGCCTATTTTTGGCTGATCTGGAATGCACACTATGCATTGAACCATTTAAAACCTAATTACACTAAAATTTCTAAAGGTGTCAATTGTACTCCTTTGTACCGGCGACTAGAGCCTAGCTCTGGAGCCCTGTTTCAACTAAATGAGCTTATTTTTGGGTGATCTGGAACGCACACTATGTATTGAATCATTCAAAAACCTAGTTTCTCTAAAATTTCTAAAGGTGTCAATTGTACTCCTTTGTAGCTGGGACTAGAACCAAGCTCTGGAGCCTTGTTTTAACTAAATGAGCCTATTTTTGGCTGATCTGGAACACAGGACACTGTTTGTCGTAGTTAAACAATCTGCTAATCTCGATTTTACTCCCCGTCATTTGGTGCCTTATGTACTCGTCTCCTAAAATGCAACCAATCACCCCAAAAAAGCAGCAAGATGTTTCCTGCCTTCCAGAACACCCAAAACAGGCTTCATTGGCTCAAATGAGGTTTTTAAAGTCAAGCTATATCACTCGGTACGTTGGTGTACAATCGACATTTTGAAACTTTGGTATGACGAGGTTTTAAATGATTCAAATGCATAGTGTGCCATCCAGATCGCCCAAAAATGTTTATAACTGACCATCAGCCAATCTCTTCGAGCGACTTGTCGGTGCGATTTCGTACTGAGCCACCAAATAGGCGTATTTCTCGCCCTCACGCGAACGCGACAAATAAATAAACGGCGAAAACGTGAGCGTGAATTGGAGCTAAACGGAAAATCGTCTGGTTACGATAGCTTTGTTCAGTTTTTAGAAAACTACGGTTTTTCCATCTTTTAGCAATTAAAAACCGGCAAGATTACGGTAGCTAACGCACTTTTTCTCTTTTCAACCCTACCATCAAATCGTTGCCGGGAAACACTTCAGTGACATCCAGATCGATCCAACTTTTTGTCGAACTCGAGCAAGAAGCGAGGAGATTCGGGGAAATCGTCCAGTTCTGGTGCGGGGGGTTCTGGAAGTTTGTGGATCGTCTAGATAAGTCAATTTTTGAGAGTTTTTACCTTAAGTTGCACTTGAACTGTTCCACAGCCGTTGAAATTCAATCGCAACAACAGCTTCGTCGGTTTCTCGATTGGATTTGGCTCGCTGGATCGCGAGAGGTTGAATGAGAGCTCGAGACCAGAGTTCGCCTCCAGAATCTCCTAAATTGACGGTATGGCTAGAATGACAGGAGAAAATCGTGTTGTGACCTCCAGATGGTTGAATAGACGTCAAAAAATCCTACCTTGATTTGCGGAAGGCCGAGGAAACTGTCGGATCAATTACCCAACCCCCACCCCAACTCCAGAATATGGCTAGAATGCCCTCAAACCAGGAGAAAATCGTGTTGTGACCTCCAGATCGTCGAATAAACGTCAAAAAATCCTACCTTGATTTGCGGAAGGCCGTGGAAACTGCCGGATCAATTACCCAACCCCCACCCCAACTTTAGAATCTAGCTAGACTGAGCCCAAACCAAGGAGAAAATCGTGTTGTGACCTCCAGATTGCCGAATAAACGTTGAAAAATGCTCACCTTGATTCGCGAAATGTCGAGGAAACTGCTGGTTCAATTACCCACCAACCCCAACATCAGAATTCGACACCGTATCCCGAAATTTCTCTGATTAAATTCTAAGTTGCCCTCCAGGATTCGTAAATAAAATGCAAATTTCTTGATTTGTTTTAGTTCTTTAAAGATTTTGACGTTCCGAAAAATTTCTGATTACTTGGTCGATCGACTCGCCTCTAACTTATCAAATTTGGTTTTTTTCTCTTCTGTGCCCTCCAGATAAGCAAAAATCCGAAACTGACTTGAGGATAGAAGTACTGAATCGACGTTGGTTGCGGGTGGACGGGTGTTTGGGGTTGTTGTTGTGACATTGTTTGCGCGTTTTGCGAATTCCACCCGTCTCGGCGACTCAAAACGCCTAGCTGGCTGAGGAATCCTGAAATTAGAGAAAATTTCGATTTTTATTTACCATTTTTCGACTTTATTTCGACCTACCCGAATTCAGCGTTCGTTCGTTCAGCTCCGAGACCGACCCCAAACAGAGCGGAAGGGAAATCAGGAGAATGAGAAGGGAAACTGAAAGTTTTGAGCGATCGAAGGGGTCATCTGGAAGTCACAGAGATGATTCTGATGTTCAGATCTTGTAAAGCATAATCTTTAGTAGGTACAGTACCCCTGAGTACTCTAGGGTCTAGGATATCTCTTCATACAGTAACCCCTGCCCTACTATAGACTGGAATAGTCTATCTGGAAGTCACAGGGATGATTCTGATCTTCAGATCTTGTAAAGCATAACCTTCAGTAGGTACAGTACCCCTGAGTACTCTAGGGTCTAGGATATCTGTTTATACAGTACCCCCTGCCCTACTGTAGTCTGGAATAGTCTATCTGGAAGTCACAGAGATGTTTTTGATGTTAAGATTTACTTTATGACTCCATTAGTACTCTAGGGTCCTCCTAGGGTCAAGATGATCTACAGTACCCCTTGTCTGACTTCTGAAATACTCTGGGGGGACTACGGACTAAAGCTAGAGGTTGGGGATTAGTTAGAGGCTACAGTACTTCGAGCTAAGCCCTATCTAAGTTCGCTAAGCTATCTAAGTTAGAGCTAAGCTATCTAAGGTAAGCCCTATCTAAGTTCGAACCTGAAAATCGCAAGTGGTTGCTCGGGAAGAGGAGGAGGCGATGGAAAGAGTGAAAACGGATTCGACAAGAGCGGCGGCGGCGATTCTCAGCGAGGCTCTTCATCGCATTTGTGATCACCAAAAAATCCCTCGTGCTCACCACCAAACATCACCGCTCAATCGCATACGACCACCGGTGTCTTTCTTTCTTTTGCTGAGGGGAAGAGGAAGACGGGAAGTACGGGAAGTACGGGAAGTACGGGAAGTACGGGAAGTGAGTGGAGAAGTACGTAGAGAAGTCGTCGATAGTACGATAGTACGAGAGTACGATAAACGTCGATTCTTTTGAATCTAAACGATGATGTGTATTCCAGAATGGTTAAAAAAAGAAAAAACTTAGACTAATTCTTGTAAAATTTTACAAAAATTCTAATGGCAAAGAAAAATTTGGTTCAAGTGTTCAAAATTATCCAAAAAATCATTCTTTACAGTCTAATAGCTAGTGTGCTTTCCAGAAATCACATTTTTCAAAACGAACTTTTGAGGATGGAGTTCTGGGGGCGGGCTTTTCTGGGGGAGTCTTCGGCACACACCACAGAGTAGACGGGGGGATGAAAATTCGATTTCTAACGGTGACGACTCTCAACACCGTCACAATTCGCCTCGATGACGTCCAGATCGACGACTGAAACGAACATTTTCTTGGCTCGACTTGATTTAAGCGAGATTTTCTCTCAAACTCGTTTCTACGAAAATGAGGAACCAAAAATTTTGTCTTTCGAGAATTCTGTAATTGTCAACAGTTTCAGTGAGCTCCAGATTGAAGTAGAATGCAAAAGAATTTTTCATTTAGCGAGATTTGAGCAAGATTTTCTCTCAAAATCGTTTGTGCAAAAGTGAAATCAAAAATATTTTGTCTTTCGAGAATTCTGAAATTTTCAACAGTTTCAGTGATGTCCAGCTTAGACTAGAATGCAAAAGAATTTTTGATTTAGCGAGATTTGGCCAAGATTTTCTCTCAAAATCGTTTCGACGAAAATGAGGAACCAAAAATTTTGTCTTTCGAGAATTCTGTAATTGTCAACAGTTTCAGTGAGCTCCAGCTTAGACTAGAATGCAAAAGAATTTTTCATTTAGCTCACTTTGAGCAAGATTTCCCCTCAAAATCGTCTCATTTGAGGTGAAATGGTCAAAAAAAGGGGCAAAAAGGGGCAAAAAAGAGCAAAAAAGGGCAAAAAAAGGGCTAAAATATCAAAAATTCGAAGAAAATAGTCTTTATCTGGTGTTGTTTAAAGAAATTTGCATAAATAAAGTCGTTTAGTAATATGAATTTCGTTTTAAATTCAAATTAATTTAATTGTAATTTAAAAAAAAAAAATACCTTCAATTTTGCGATTTTTTTGATCGAGAAGTTGTAGAAAAATGCTGAAATTGGAAAATTTTTTTTTTTGTTATTTTGTTAATTTTTGTAATTGGATTGAATTCTTTGATTATTTCAAATAAAAAATAAAAGAATATTAATGATTTCTATTGAGAAAAAGAGAAAAAGAGAAAAAAGAAAAAAATAAAAGAATAACCGTATTGGAACCGTATTGGAAGCGTATTGGAACCTTAAAAAGAACCGTATTGGAACCGTATTGGGACCTTAAAAAGAACCGTATTGGAAGCGTATTGGAAGCGTATTGGAACCTTAAAAAGAACCGTATTGGAACCGTATTGGGACCTTAAAAAGAACCGTATTGGAAGCGTATTGGAAGCGTATTGGAACCTTAAAAAGAACCGTATTGGAACCTATTGGGACCTTAAAAGAACCGTATTGGAAGCGTATGGAAGCGTATTGGAACCTTAAAAAGAACCGTATTGGAACCGTATTGGGACCTTAAAAAGAACCGTATTGGAAGCGTATTGGAAGCGTATTGGAACCTTAAAAAGAACCGTATTGGAACCGTATTGGGACCTTAAAAAGAACCGTATTGGAACCGTATTGGGACCTTAAAAAGAACCGTATTGGAACCGTATTGGAACCGTATTGGAACCGTATTGGGACCTTAAAAAGAACCGTATTGGAACCGGATTGGAACCGTATTGGAACCTTAAAAAGAACCGTATTGGAACCGGATTGGAACCGTATTGGGACCTTAAAAAGAACCGTATTGGAACCCTAAAAAGAACCGGATTGGAACCGGATTGGAATTGTATTAGATCAAAATAGGAACCGTATTGGAACCGTATTTCTTGGTGTTGGGTCGTCCAATTGAAATAGTTTTTGTACCAATCGACAGAGAAAGACTTGGCGCATCTAATGATACTAAAGAAGATTGAAATTGGATAGCCCAACACAAAGAAATTTCAGCTCGTAGCCGTATTGGAGCCGTATTGGAATAATAAAAAATAAAGAATTGAAAAAATAAAAAAATTGAAAAATTGAAAAAATACAGTCTTGGTCGAAGAGTTATAGAAATTTGAGTAGAATAAGGATACGTAGATAATGGTCTGACTATCAGCTCATTCCCTGTTGCATCAAGGTTGACAATGAGAGAAGACAAGAGACAATGACAAATTCTATTTTATTGAAGCTACAGATTAATTTGAATCAATAAAATCATTAATAAAACCAATAACAATAAAGCCATTAAAACCATTAAAACCATTAAAATCAATAAAATGAATAAAATCATTAAAGCTATTAAAATCAATAAAATCATTAAAACCAATAAAACCAATCAAAGAGCCCCTTTAAGAATCCCTTTAACCCATCTTTTTAAATGCAAATCTTTCCCCTTGAACTCTAATTTGATTCGATTTTCTTTAAAATAACAAAAAGCTTTCATAGAAATCACTCAAATTACAAAATCACGGATCACGGAAATGCGAGCAACGAGATCGACAAGATTTAAGCACATTTTTCCCCTTTCAAGACCACCTTTCCACTTACATTTCACGAGCTGGAAGTCATTTGGGAAAATGGTGATGTGGAAATTTGGTAAATTTGGAATATGTGGAAAATTTGGTAGTTATCAATGAATGTGGAAGAAAATAGCGGTCGGATGGTCGATCGTTGTGAACGCCGAAGAATCGAGAGTCGAGTAAAGAGGGATGAAATGAAATGAAATGAAATGAAGGAAAAAAGCTTTTCTGGAACACAGCACCACCCCGTTTACATTGAATTTGAGAAGAAAACTTTAAGTTGAGAGGTTGAACAGAAAAGAGAGGTTAGCTCGGATTTCGCGAAGCTGTGTCAATGGGAAAGTAAAAGGCGGTCAGATCAAAGCCTGGGGAATTCGAGACGAGAAATGATAGAAGAAAGGCTAAAGAAAGGCTAAAGAAAGGCTGAAGAAAGACAGAAGAAAGACAGAAGAAAGGCTAAAGGCAGGAAAGCTGAAGAAGATCGACTTTTCAAGGTACAAACACGTGAAATCGCGAACAAGAGGATTTGTCGAGAACGAACGTCATTCTCGGGATGATCAATCGATTTTCAGCCATTCTGGTAGTCACAAAGAAGATCTAGAAGAGAAAATTCGCTAACTCGGCTAATCGGAGTCTAGTGGTATAGTGAAAAATTGGGTAATTAAACCGATTTCAAAATGCTCGCAAAAGTGAATCTAAACAATTTAATAGCTAGTGTGCCTTCCAGAACTCACAGTTTTTTATTTAAAATTTTAAGATTAATTAGGAAAGTTGGTTTTTCGGGGTTGATTGGATTCACTAGAGTAGAAAGGGTTGTTCTGGGGTTAAAAGGCAGGGGTTTTTTGCCCTAGTCTGTCTTTATAGAGGTTTTCTGACGGGGAACTGAATGGCTTGGTGGTGTAGTGGATAAGACGCTTGTCTCCAAAGCGAATGTCGAGAGCGAATTGCTTGAGTTCGAGTTCTGGCTTTGTTTTTATTTTTATTTTGATCTTTTAAAAGCTAAATTTTCTTTGGTCTTAAATTCAGTGGCCATTAAGCCATTAAGCTCTAGTCTATAGCTTACTACAATCCTACTACATTTCCTTTATTACTATTAGATTTACGAGATGTTAAACCTAGCAAGTTTTATGTCTAACCAAAGGGCCAACAATAAGACCAATAGTAAGACCAATAATAAGACCAGTAAGACCAATAATAAGACCAATAGTAAGACCAATACCAAGACCTTTTCTAGATCTAGAATCAAGATCCAAAAGACCAATAGTCCTGTTCTAGAGATCTAGACGATCTAGATCTAGAACCAAGATCTAGACGCTTGAATTAGAGTCATTTATTCAGCAATTGGAGGCAATAAACTTGCTCTATCAACCAGAAAACCAGGCCACTACTTAAACCAGGCCACTCTAGCTCTAAAAAGTATTCTTGACTGTGCTGATTCTCAGAAAACCCATGGGATACGTTGGCTGGCACCCGAATCGCCAAAAGATTCCCGAGAGTTTCCTCATTTTTTTAAAAAGTCGCTAAAAAAAGGATTTGAGTGGGTGTCCCCATTCTTTTTCTTTCTTTCTTTCTTTCTTTCTTTCTTTCTTTCTTTTTAATCCCAAGGGATCTATCAACTCATTCACTCAGTTTTTAGACTGATCAACGCTCGAAAAAGTCACTGAAAAAAAGAGTTCAAGTTCTAGGCAAAAACTAGCTTTGTTAAAGCATAAAAAAGGTTTTCAAAATGTTCTAATTGATCTAAGACGTTTAGAGAAGCCAAGTGGAATCAAAAAAGTTCCTTCCAAAGATCAAAGAGACAAAACTCTTTCTTGAGGTTGACTGGAGTCTAAGCCTAAGCCTGAACTTGAACCTCAACTTGAGCCTGAGCCTGAGCCTGAGCCTGAACCTGAACCTGAACGGGAGCCTAAGCCTGGGCCTAAGCCTAAGCCTGAACCGAAGCCTGAACCGGAGCCTAAGCCTAAGCCTGAGTCTAAGCCTGAACCTGAACTTGAGCTTGAGCCTAAGCCTGAGTCTAAGCCTGAACTTGAACCTGAACTTGAGCTTGAGCCTGAGCCTAAGCCTAAGCCTGAACTTGAGCCTAAGCCTGAGTCTAAGGCTTAAACCAAGGCTTAAAATACTTCTCGTGGGTTCTAAAGCAAAACCCCCAATCGGGTGTGCCTTAGCTCTAGGAACTGACTGAGATCCAGAAAATTGGGGGTGAGCTCAAACCCAAAT